ACTCGATTTTTTTTTTCTAGTGGAAAAAAAATACAAATTTAATACATTTCATAAGTACAACTTTAGGAAAACAGTGATTCTTTCCATCATATCTGCCCTCCCAACCACACTCCTACCCTTCTTCCTTCTCCCTCTCCTATTTGCATTCTTATTTTTTACTAAGATCTATTTTCAATTAAGTTTATACATATACAATGAACTCTATACTAAGTAAAAAGTTCAACAAATATGAAAAAACAAAACAAAACTGTTCCTCAATAGTCGAGACAAGGGCTATTCAAAGTCGTTGCATTTCAAAGTGTCAATTTCACTTCTATAGGTTACCAATTAGGTGTTCCATTAGTTATCACAAATCAGGAACAACATATGATATTATCCTTTTGGGACTGGCTTATTTCACTAAGTATGATATTTTCCAGTTTCATCCACTTTGTTGCAAATGACAGGATTTCATTTTTTTTTTTTTACCTGCTGTGTAGTATTCTATAGTGGACATCTCCCATAATTTCTTTATCTAGTCTTCAGTTGATGGGCATTTGGGTTGATTCCATATCTTAGCTATTGTGAATTGAGCTATAATAAACATGGGGGTACAGAGGGTACAGATAACTCTTTCATATGCTGATTTCATTTCCTTTGGGAAAATTTCTTTTTTTTTTACCTAATGGCTCTGGCTAAAATTTCTAGGACTATATTGAATAGCAATGGTGAGAGTGGGCATTCTTGTCTGGTTCGGGATCTTAGTGGGAATGCTTCCAACTTTCCCCCATTCAATAAGATGTTGACTGTGGGTTTGTCATAAATTGCCTTGATTGTGTTGAGGAATGTTCATTCTATTACCTAAAATGCTTAAGGTTTTCATTGTGAAAGGGTTTTGTGTTTTGTTTTGTGTTTTATCAAATGCTTTCTCTACATCTATTGAGATAATCATATGGTTTTTCACCTTCAAGTTGTTAATGTGATGTATCACATTGATTAATTTGTGAATGTTGAACCATCCCTGCATATGAAGGATAAATCCCACTTGGACAGGGTAATGATTTTTCTGATGTGTTGTTGGATTTGGCTAGTATTTTGTTGAGGATTTTTGCATCTGTGTTCATCAGGGAAATTGGTCTGTAGTTCTCTTTCTCTGTTGTCTCTTTTTCAGGTTTAGAAATTAAGGTGATGCTGGCTTCAATAGAAGGAGTTTGGGAGGATTCCCTTCCTTTCAATCATTTTGAACAGCTTGAGAAGGATTGGAGTTAGTTCTTCTCTAAATGTCTGATAGAATTCAGCAGTGAAGCCATCCAGTCCTGGGCTTTTCTTTGTTGGGAGGTTCTTTATTACTCATTCAATTTATATCTTGGTTATTGGTCTGTTTAGGTTTTCTACATCTTCATGGTTCAATTTAGGTAAGTTGTATGTTTCCAGGAATCTATTCATTTCTTCTAGGTTTCCTGGTTTGTTGGCCTACAGTTCTTTGTAGTAATTTCTGATGTTTCTTCTTATTTATGTGGTGTCTGTTGTTACTTTTCCTTTTTCATCTCTAATTTTATTGTTTGGATCATCTCCCCCCCCCCCCCTTTTTTTTTTTGGTTAGTTGGGCCAATGGTGTGTCAATTTTGTTTATTTTTTCAAAAAACCAGCTCTTTGTTTTGCTGATCTTTTGTATTTTTTTGTTTCAATTTATTGATCTCTTCTCTAATTTTAATTATTTCTTATATCTTACTAGCTTTGGTTTTTTTTTTTTTTAGATCCTTGAGATGCATTGATAACTCATTTATTTAGTGCCTTTCCAGTTTATTTTTTCGTTTTTTTAAAAGATTTATTTATTTATTTATTTGAAAGTCAGAGTTACACAGAGAGAGAAGGAGAGGCAGAAAGAGAGAGAGAGAGAGAGAGGTCTTCCATCCGCTGGTTCACTCCCCAGTTGACCACAATGGCTGGAGCTGTGCTGATCTGAAGCCAGGAGCCAGGAGCTTCTTCTGGGTCTCCCACGTCCATGCAGGGGCCTAAGGACTTGGGCCATCTTCCACTGCTTTCCCAGGCCATAGCAGAGATATGGATTGGAAGTGGAGCAGCCAGGACTCGAACTGATGCCCATATGGGATGCTGACACTGCAGGCAGTAGCTTTACGTGCTATGCCACAGTGCTGGCCCCTCCAGTTTCTTGATATAGGCACTAATTGCTATAAACTTTCCTCTTAGCACTGATTTTGCTGTATCCCATAAGTTTTGAAATGTTGTATTGTCTTCTTCATTTGTTTCCAGAAATTTTTTGGTTTGTCTTTTGATTTCTCCACTGACCATTGTTCATTCAGGAGCATGTTTTTCGGTCTTCATGTGTTTGCATATGCTCTAGAGATTTTTGAGTTGTTGATTTCCAGCTCTATTCCATTGTGGTCAGAGATGAGACAGGGCATGATTTCAATTTTTGAATTTCTTAGACTTGTTTAATGGCCTAGCAGGTGGTCTATCTTAGAGAAAGTTTCATGCACTGGTGAGAAGAATGTGTATTCTGCAACTGTAGGTGAAAAGTTCTGTAGATATTCGTTGTTATGTGCATTTGGTCTATAGTGTCAAACAACTCTATTGTTTCTTTGCTGATTTTCTGTCTGGTTGATCTGTCCCTTGCTGAAAGTGGGTATTGAAGTCCCCCATTACTATTGTATTAAATTCTCTGTCTTCCTTTAGATCCATTAACATTTCTTTTAAATAGTCATGTACCTAGTAATTAGGTGCATATATGTTTATTATAGTCACTTCTTCCTGTTGAATTGATCCCTTAATCATTACATGGTGCCCTTCTGTGTCTCTTTTAACAGTTTTTGTTTTAAACTCTATTTTGTCAGTATATATGTTTGTTGTCCGACATTAAGATGGCTTTACTAGATCCTTTTGGTTTCTGTTAGCTTGTAATATCTTTTTCCATCCTTTCACTTTCAGTCTGTGTATATCTTTGTTGTTGAGATGTGATTCTTGTAGGCAGCAAACAGATGTATTTTGTTTTTTAATCCATTCAGCCAGTCTGTATCTTTTACCTGGAGAGTTGAGGTCATTGACATTCAAGGTGACTATTGATAAGTAACAACTTGTCCCTGCCATTTTTCCATAAATACTCCTATTGTTTACTTTGGATTTCCTTTGTACTTTTACTGGGAAATTGTCTGCCTCCATCTTCTTTCATAGTGATGACGAGGTATCTGTGTTTCTGTGTGTAGCACATCCTTAAGCATCTTTTCTAAGGCTGAATGAGTGGTGACAAATTCTTTCAATTTCTATTTGTCATGGAAGGTCTTCATTTTACTTTCATTCATAAATGAGAGCTTTGCAGGGGATAGTATTCTGGATTGACAGTTTTTTTTTTTTTTCTCTTAAGACTTGGAATATATCTTGCCATTCTCTCCTAGCCTGTAAAGTTTCTGATGAGAAGTCAGCTGTGAGTCTAATTGGAGATCCTCTGAAAGTAATGTGGCATTTCTCTCATGCTCATTTTAGAAAGTTTTATTTGTTTTACTTGGAGAGTTTGGCTACAGTGTTTTGAGGTGAAGTTCTTTTCTGGTCATGTCTATTAGAGGTTCTATGTGCTTCCTATACTTGGATGTCCCTTTCTTTCTCCAAATTGGGGATGTTTTCTGTAATTATTTCACTAAAAAGTTCTTATAATTCATTCTCTCTTTCCACACCTTCAGAAACTCCTAAGACCCATATGTTGGGTCATTTGATAGTATCCCATATTTAGTTTTCTAATTTCTTCTTCTTTTTTTGGTCTGACTATAAAATTTTCAGAGATTTGTCTTTTTTTTTTAATTTACTTATTTGACAGGTAGAGTCACAGAAGTGAGAGAGAGAGACAGAGAGAAAGGTCTTCCTTTTTCCGTTGGTTCACCCCCCAAGTGGCCGCCATGGCCAGCACTGCACTGATCCGAAGCCGGAAGCCAGGTGCTTCCTCTTGATCTCTCTCACGGGTGCAGGGGCCCAAGCACCCGGGCCATCCTTCACTGCCCTCCCGGGCCACAGCAGAGAGGTAGACAGGAAGAGGAGCAACTGGGACTAGAACCTGGTGCCTATATGGGATGCCAGTGCTACAGGCAGAGGACTAACCAAGTGAGCCATGGCTCAGGCCCCAAGATTTGTCTTATAACTTGGATATTCTTTCTTCTTCCTCACTGAGTCTGTTGTTAAGGCTTTCTGCTGTATGTTTTATTTGATCTATTGAATTCTTCATTTCCAATATTTCATTTTGGTTTCTCTTTAAAATCTGAATTTCATGGGAAAAATTTTCATTCATGTCTTGTATGGATTTCTTTAATTCATGGATTTGCTTCTGAGTACTTCTAAGTAATCCTTTGATCAATTTTTTGAATTCCATTTCTGGCATTTCTTCAACCTATTCACCTTCACATTCTAACATTAAAGTGTTGTTGAGTTCTTTTGGGGGTGTCATGTTGTCTTCCTTATTCTTATTTTTTGAATTGCTGTTTATTTTTAGGCATATGTGGATATACTTGCAGGTTTTTTTTTCTCCCTGTGCTGGCTTTTGTCTTTGGACTATGCCTCAGTGGCTTAGTGGAGTGTCACCTCTTTCAGTGTACACACAGAAGCATGTGCTGGGTGTGGCCAGGGAGCTCTGTTCAGTGCTCTGGGCTGAGGGGAGTGTCTAAGGTGACACCCAAGTTCAGTGTAGTAAATATTTTTTTTTTAAACTAATAACATTTTATTGGGGACAGGGCATCTGTCAGAATGGAAGGGACAGATAGAGAGTGCTCAGTCACTCAGACTGGGGGAGAGTGAGGTTACATTGTTGAATGGAGAAAATACACCTGGGCAGGCAGGCGGGTGGCTCAGCTGAGAGAAGAGAGCTGAGCATATGGTAGTTGTTTGGACTCCCAGTTGTTTTTTTTTTTTTTTTGACAGGCAGAGTGGACAGTGAGAGAGAGACAGAGAGAAAGGTCTTCCTTTGCCGCTGGTTCACCCTCCAATGGCCGCCGCGGCCAACACGCTGTGGCAGGCGCACCACGCTGATCAGAAGGCAGGAGCCAGGTACTTACCCTGGTCTCCCATGGGGTGCAGGGCCCAAGCACTTGGACCATCCTCCACTGTACTCCCTGGCCACAGCAGAGGGCTGGCCTGGAAGAGGGGCAACTGGGACAGAATCCAGCGCCCTGACCGGGACTAGAACCCGGTGTGCCAGCGCCGCTAGGCGGAGAATTAGCCTAGTGAGCCGCGGCGCCGGCCGTGGACTCCCAGTTTTTAGGGAGTCTCTTTATCCACCCCCCCCTTCTTCTTTAGGATAAAGGGTTTTGTTAGAGAGTAAATTAGCAAATTCTGCCCCAGGTTTCTTAGTGCCAGGCAGAGTAGAGGAGCTTCCCTTAGGGCATGTGTGAAGGTTTTATTGCCCATGTTATCAGGTCAGGTCACCCATTTGGTCCTGAAAAGAGAGAATTCTCCTGGGAGCTTTCCTTAGAGGAAGGGCTGGGACCACCTAGAAGGTTATCAGGATCTGGGCAGGACTTTGAAGTGGAAAATGCTGAGCTTCTGGGGCTTCCAAAACATGTGCTGGTCCTTCAGGCCGTTTTCACCCAAATAGGCTAATTTTTAACTTCCTACGCAACATTCCATCCCCCCCCCCCAAGAGAAAATACCCATAATCTTATGGGGATAAATGGCCGAAGGTCTGTTTTCTGTAGCTACTTCGGAAGCTGACAAGTGGGCATAGAGGTGGACATGGGTATTTTTCTCTTGCTATCTGTCCTATGGTGTTTCAGAGTGTCCTCAGGAAGCATTGTCCTACTTGGTCCAGAGGGCTGGTCATCTTGTCTGATGTGGTAGGCTGGAAGCCCTGTTTTAGAAGCACCTGGAGCCACATGACTTGTCTTCTGTTAGAGACAGAACAAACAAGGACATTAAAACACAATAGTCTACAGAGAAGCACAAAGAATGTGGACACTTTGTCACCAAGGAGAGGCAATGATCAGGATTTCCATGACCAGATGTGATGTTGGGCCACATATTTTAGTCTTGTGTGATCTGGTCGTAGAGTTGCCTGGCCTTGTCCAAGAAAGCATGAACATGATTTTGTACCCATCTAGTTTGACTCTAGTTTGGGGCATTTTCATGGGCAGCAGGTAGCAGGTGTAGGTCCTGCCTGTTTTGAAGGACTGAGTAAGCAATCCGTTTTTGAGAGCCCTAGTCATCGCAGCTTTTCAGTGGATGAAAGCTGTGCTTTGTTTGTTTGTTTGTCCCAAAGGAGGGGGTTCTGCTTTGGTTTCTTGTTGAGAGCCTGATTTAGGAACTGTGCTATTTCCATGTATCTAGGAATCTGTAACCTATAGGAAAATGCTGGGGCTCCCTGAAGTTTGCAGAAATAAGAATTTGCTATATGGCCCATATATTCTATGGGGCTGGTTTTCTCTCCCCAGGGGTGAGTATAAGGGTTAAATAATTAACTCTCTAGTGCTCCCCTCCCGCCCCCAGATGCCTAATAGCTACATTTTGCTAGGAAGTTAAGCTAATGTACAAGACCAGAGGCTTAGGCTGGGAAAGGAAACAGACTAATAAATCATTTACAATTAACCATATATATTTTGGATTATTTCACACCCCCCCTCAAGAGATAGGCCCTTTAAGTCCTTGGTGAGGACCTGTTCAAATAGCTGCAGGACTATCTAAGTCAGCTGTAACTCTAAGCCCTGCTTTTAGGGACTAACAGGAAGGGCTTTTTAAGCTTTTTTTATTTATTTTTATCAGAGGGAGGTTTGATCAGCTCTGTTGGGGTAGTCTTATGCTGACCTCCTCTTCCAAGAAGAACAACGCCTGGGTACTAGCCCCAGGGAGTACAATATTTATCCACGTTGCCACAAGAATAATACAAAGGATCCATGCAGTTCTTGGTGTGAGCATGGATCCTGCAGCAATAACTCCCACCAGGGAATCAGGGAGTCCTGAGTGTGTGGAGCCGTCCACAGTGACTACCCAAAGACTCAGCCACACCCTGTGGCCTCCCTCACAGCCACAGAGTTTTCACAGTCCCAGAAACCAGGGCTCCCACAGTCATGAGCACCTAGCCGCCTGTCAATTCTCCCAGCCAGAGTCGGGCATCTCCTCTTGGCTGGTTGCTGGGCGTGTGGACATATGCTGATGCACCTGTTGCATTTGTCCAAAATGGCACCTGCCCTCTCTTGGCTAGTTACAGGACACTGGTGCTGGGTGGTTAGGGAGAGAGAAATGTGCTCTCTTTTTTTCCCTCTAGGTTAGCAGGTACATTGTCCCCTACATGGCCTCAAGCCAGACTTTCACCAGGCTCTTCCCCATAGCTTTATTGCTAGTGGCTTGGGCTGCTGCAGTCTTGCCTCACATCACTTTCCAAAGCTGGTGCTGTGGCTCTCGGCTGCTGGGGTCCTGAGTTGTGCGTGTCCACACTCTCCATGTAGACTCACAATGTCCCTCTAATTTGCATGGAGTTTCCTCTGCAGATTTCTCCCTAACTCTTCCCTGAGATTGCACTTTCTCCACTTTTTTAAGCTATCTTCCCCTAGACTAGAGAGAGCAGTAACATCCCTCCCTGTTCTGCTGTCTTGGACACCTTTGCTATTTTTTTTTTTTTAAGATTTGTTTTATTTTTTTGAAAGACAGAGTTACAGAGAGAGGTAGAGCCAGAGAGAGAGAGAGAGGTCTTCCATCGCTAGTTCACTCCCCAAATGACCGAAACAGCCAGAGTTGACCTCATCAGAAGCCAGGAGACAAGAGCTTCTTCTGCATCTCTCACAAGGATGCAGGGGCCCAATGACTTGCGCCATCTTCTATTGCTTTCCCAGGCCACAGCAGAGAGCTGGATCAGAAGTGGTGCATCTGGTACTCAAACTGGAGCCCATATGGGATGCTGGTGCTGCAGGTCAGGGCTTTAAACTCATTGCACCACAGCACTGGCCCCAATAATTTTGTTTTGAAGACAGGATTATCTTGAGAACCATATGGAATGATCTAGATGAAACCTCTATAACATATAGTAAGTTGCTTGTTTCCAACCATTTTCCATGAAAATGAATAAAGAAAGTGGGAAAATTACCTCCTGATGATGTCCTGACAAGGGAAACCAGGATGAGATTGTACTATTTCAAATTGCTCTTTTCATCCCTGGTTTCTCCTACCTTTCCTTTCCCTTGTCCTGCTTTCACTCAGACTCCAAAAGCTTTTTCAGAAGTTTACCTTTAGTTTGATTGGACAGATCTCAACTTGATTTTTCATGTGCTATTTTTCTTACTCTTTTTTTTAAGAACTTTCATCATAAATGTCTTAACTCCAATTGTTAATTTAAAAAAATATTTTTTCTCTCTGGTTCCTGCTGTGAAAATGGAGTCCAAACCATTTTTATCTGGGCAAGTGGAACTATAACTATTTGACCTATTTTTCAATTTCCCTATAATTGAGATTCAGCTATCAAAGTCAATTTAATTCTTGATGTGGAAGTTTTCTGGGAAGGTAAAGTTAAATTACTGTAAAGAAGGGCAACAAATTTTGTAAAATATATTGGAAGGCTTAGAGATATTAAATACAGATGTAAAAAGTACAGGCAGGCTGGCCCTGTGGCATAGCAGGTAAAGCCTCCGGCTGCAGTACTGGCATCCCAAGTGGGCGCCAGTTCGAGTCCCGGCTGCTCCACTTCCAATCCAGCTTTCTGCTATGGCCTGGGAAAGCAGTAGAAGATGGCCCAAGTCCTTGGGCCCCTGCACCCACGTGGGAGACCCAGAGTAAGCTTTGGATCATCGCAGTTCCATGGAAGACCCCCCCGCCTCTCTCTTTCTCTGCCTCTGTCTCTCTGTAACTCTGCCTTTCAAATTAATAAATAAATCTTAAAAAAAAGTACAGGCAAATCTCAGTTGTCTACCCATGTTCAGGAGAAATTAGCACACACTGGTAATATTGAAAATTAACAGTGATACTAAATAATTATTTATTGACAATGCTTTGGTTTTAGGCATCGAGCTAGTTGTTTTATATCCATTCTTTCTGGAGCCCCAGTCCTGTGAAAGAAATCTCTACATTGCTACTCAGACTTTTAGAAAAGGGATTCAACATCCTGAAATGGGTAGACCAATTTCAATTTCATCCTTGGTTACAATATGCCCCTCACTCCCATTGTCCATTGTGAAATTTGGATCCTTGCTGGATCTATGTGCTTTACACCTTTCTCTCTGCAATAGAAATTTCATTGCTTTCCATCCATATCTTGTGTTTGCTTCAACTTTTCTGACTTTATCTGTCTCCTTATCCTTCAATAATTCTACCTATTTTTCTAAACTTCCTACCTAACCCTGTCACTCAGCAGTTTCTACCTTTATCATCAAGCCCTCTAGGTTTTAGTCAGCATCAAGGGTGGGCATGGGGGATTGTGGTACAGCAGGTAAAGCAGTGTTCCGAATCCCATATTCCAGGGCAGGTTCCAGTCTGGGCCACTACTTCCTCCCATTGGGGCCATCTGGGGAATGAACTAGTGTATGGAAGGTCTCTGTCCCTTCCTCTCTCTGTGTCACTTTGCCTTTCAAATGAATAAAATAGATCTTAAAAACTTACCTGAAGTGCTAAGACTCTAAATGTGCTCTGTCCCTAAATTAGTTTCTAATTCAGTTTGGAATTTCAGTTCCATTTTCTAATAGAGGGAATGTAATAAATGGTGGTTCTGTTTCTAGGCAAAAAGCCTAGCACTGGGAGCATATTTAATGCAGAAATTAATTGCAATACTTGGTACTTGTACCAAAATAAAAGAAAATAATGCCTTGGTAATTCTAGTAATAAAATGAAAACTATTCAGTAAGAAGTAGCTATTTTTCCTGAACATTTAGTGGAATGCAGTTGATGAGAATTCTGAAGGGAGCTTTCGAGTGCTTTAAAGATTGCAGTATTTTATATTAATTGAGAAAGATCTTTCTCATATGGAAGATCACTGTAAGTATGCTGATTTATTAACCATATTTATACTTTTTGTTTAGACTCAGACATGGAGTCAAGAAAGAATAAGGCATTTTCTGTTGTATAAATATATCTCCTGTCTCCAAAAATCTTCCATGTCATGTAGGTTGTTCTTCTTTTTTTTCTTTTTCTTTTTTTTTTTTTTTTTTTTGACAGGCAGAGTTAGAGAGAGAGAAAGAGAGAAAGGTTTTCCTTCCATTGGTTCACCCCCGAAATGGCCGCTATGGCCGGCACACTGCGCCGATCCGAAGCCAGGAGTCAGGTGCTTCCTCCTGGTCTCTCACGCGGGTACAGGGCCCAAGCACTTGGGCCATCCTCCACTGCCTTCCCAGGCCACAGCAGAGAGCTGGACTGGAAGAGGAGCAACCAGGGCAGAATCCAGTGCCCCAACCGGAACTAGAACCCGGGGTGCCAGTGCCACAGGCGGAGGATTAGCCTAGTGAGCCACGTCACCGGCCTCTTTTTTTTTTTTTTTTAAAGATGTATTTATTTATTTGAAAGACAGAGTTAGAGAGAGAGAGCTCTTCCATCTGCTGATTCTCTCTTTAAATGGCCACATCCAAATCCAGGAGCCAGGAGCTTCTTCCGAGTCTCCCATGCTGGTGCAGGGGTCCAGGGACTTGGACCATCCTCCACTGCTTTCTCAGGAATATTAGCAGGGAGCTGGATCAGAAGCGGAGCAGCCAGGACATGACCAAGTACCCACATGAGATGCTGGAGTTGCAGGTGGTGGCTTTACCTGCTCTGCCACAGTGCCAGCCCTGCTTTGTCCTTTTAAGTTGCATTTTAATTTTTGCCATTTAGTGTGCCTTGTAATTTTTTCCTTATAACCGTACATTATGTACTGGGTAAAAGAAGCTGCTATCAATAGGCCTTTTGTAATGTGGAAGTAAGGAGTCAGGGCAGGGGAAGCATTCTGTAGCCCTATGAGTAGGATTTTACAGTCTTTCAGGGAGTCTGTGTCCCTGGACTGTGAGTGTTTCAACAGCTCCTCCATTTTCCCTGCCCCCCTTAAGAGTGGGCTGGAGTTGGTGTGTTTCTTCCCGCAGTCCAGGTGAGCGCTAATGAAATCCCAGTAGACTAGGCTCTGACTAAGTCCTCTTTTACGTAGTTATAAAATGAAAATAATTTCTCCTCTTTTATATAAGTTCCAGTGATTCTAAGACTGCTTTTGCCCATGACCAGGCGTGTAAAACTCCTTATTTCGTGAATGAGCTTACTTCTTGAGCTCTTTATCTCTGCAGCCTGTCCACAGCGTTAACCACTTGCTGCCAGGTAACATGTCTCTGCCCAACTACTTCCAGCCTTGTTGGGTACGATGACTTGCAATTTCTGAATATATATACTTACCTGGCAGGGGAGATACCATGATCACGAAGGTGGTTTTCCCAGGGCGAGGCTCATCCATTGCACTCTGGATGTGCTGACCCCTGCGATTTCCCTAAATGTGGGAAACTCGACTGCATAATTTGTGGTAGTGGGGGACTGCGTTCGCGCTTTCCCCTAAAAAATGAAATAAATAAAATAGAAAAAAAATTAAAAAAGAATAAAAAAAAGAAAAAAATTTCTGAATATATGCATGAAGTGAGGTGGTTAATGTGGGCTGGAAGAGAGTGAGACTGATGTGTAGCAGCTGGAGGAAGAGGAGGGGAAGAAGGTTATGTGGGCTGACAAATGTGTTTCTTAATTCAGAGGACCTGGGTTACAAGCAGTAGAAATATTGTTTTTAGCAACTGGTTGTTATCCTCAGGTTTTAGTGCTGCAGATTAAATTAAATACCCCACCACCATGATTGGTTTAGTGGGAAGTTGAGAGAAATAATATTGGAGATTTATTCAGTAGTGATATTTAAAGCCTGCAGAAATATTTCCTTAAGCTTTCTAGGATGAGATGGGGTAAATCTTTTGTTTTTATTGGAATAATTTATTGTTTCCCAGTCATACTAATGAAACCTTACATTTGTTATCATCCTTGAGGCTTTGGCCATATCTTCATTTTATTTAAATAACTTTGGAAGGAGAGTCTTAGTTTCTTTATCTTTCAGTTCAGGGAGTGGAGGCTTAAGTGATTTGCTCAAAGTCTCACAGTTGGTTGGTTATCAGTTGGTAGAGCTGCGATTCACACCCAGGTGAAACTTATGTACCATATTGTTGTTTTCTTACACATTTTGACAATATGGTTAGCTTAACATTGAAAGCAAATGGTTATCTATAATTGCTGCCTCGTGTTGTGAAAACTTTTATGTTTTGTTTTTAATCACATCTGAAAACAATGTGCTTTTAATCTTCTTTTTAAGATGTCAGTTCCTGGATTTACCCTTGGTGTCTTCATATTTTTGTTGCGCATCATTTCTGTGGCTAATTATCCCAATGGGAAAGTAACACAGTCCTGTGGCAGAATGATTCCTGAACATGGTCACAGCCCACAGTCGGAGGTCGCTCACCGCATTTCAGTGAGTCAGCAGACGTTCAGGCCGGGAGATCAGATCGAAGGTACTGTGCTGGGGTTAACTATTTATATTTTGAATTTCACTTGTTTACTGTTCATTGAATCTTTATTATTACTGGATTTGGACTATTTCATTTAAATCTGTTGATCTGTTTTTATAAGATACCATAATTTTGTACTTCCATTTTTTGTTCAAGTCATAGAAATGACCATGTATACCCTATTGCTCACTCAGAATAGATTTTAAAGTAAGTTTTAACATTGCATTTAACAATTTTTAAAAAAGATTTATTTATTTGAACGGCAGATTTACAGAGGGGCAGAAGCAGAGAGAGAGAGAGAGAGGTCTTCTATCTGCTGGTTCACTCCCCAGATGACTGCAATGGCCAGAGTTACAATCTGAAGCCAGGAGCCAGGAGCTTCTTCTGGGTCTCCCATGCGGGTACAGGGGCCCAGGGACTCGGGCCATTCTCTGCTGCTTTCCCAGGCCATAGCAAAGAGCTGGATCGGAAGTGGAACAGCTGGGACTCAACTGGTGCCCACATGGGATACCGGCACTGCAGGCAGTGGCTTTACCCACTATGCCATAGTGCCAGCCCTTTGTATTTTATTTTATTAGATTTATTTTATTTATTTGAAAGACAGAGTTACAGAGAGAGGTAGGAACATAGAGAGAGGTCTTCCATCCGCTAGTTCAACCCCCAGATGGCTGCAACAGCCGGAGCTGCGCCAATCCGAAGCCAGGAGCCAGGAGCTTCCTCTGGGTCTCCCATGCAGGTGCAGGGGCCCAAGGACTTGGGTGGGCTATCTTCTACTGCTTTCTCAGGCCATAGCAGAGAGCTGGATCGGAAGTGGGGCTGCTGGGTCTTGAACCAGCACCTGTATGGGATGCCTGTGCTTCAGGCCAGGTGTTAACCCACTGCACCACAGCACTGGCCCCTCCAGGGGGAGTTTTGCATATGTATTCTTGATTTCCTGATTCTACCTAGGATGTACCTCTTGCATTTCTTTTTGCAATATTACTAAATTTTTCACCTGTTTGTTTCTCAGTTACTTTGTCAGGACAGCCATTTAAAGGCTTCCTCTTGGAAGCTCGTGACGCTGAGAATTTGAATGGCTTTCCTGTTGGCTCTTTCTCATTGATTGACAGTCGAGTATCACAACTTCTGAATTGTGAAGACATACAGGTTTGTGTTTATTTTGAAACTGATTTGTTTCGGGCTGGCGCCGTGGCTCACTAGGCTAATCCTCCACCTTGCAGCGCCGGCACACCGGGTTCTAGTCCCGGTCAGGGCGCCGGGTTCTGTCCCGGTTGCCCCTCTTCCAGGCCAGCTCTCTGCTGTGGCCAGGGAGTACAGTGGAGGATGGCCCAAGTGCTTGGGCCCTGCACCCCATGGGAGACCAGGAGAAGCACCTGGCTCCTGGCTTCAGATTAGTGCAGTGCGCTGGCCGCAGCGCGCCGGCTGCGGCGGCCATTGGAGGGTGAACCAACGGCAAAGGAAGACCTTTCTCTCTGTCTCTCTCTCTCTCACTGTCTACTCTGCCTGTCAAAAAAAAAAAAAAAATTTGATTTGTTTCAATTTCCTTGGGTCTTCTCACGATGGGGTGGTGGTGGTTACAGGATGAATGGTGAGACTACCTATGTGTACATCAGAATAGATTTTTTTGTATTTTTTATTTTTTTTTAAATTTTTTTGACAGGCAGAGTGGAAAGTGAGAGAGAGAGAGAGACAGAGAGAAAGGTCTTCCTTTTGTCATTGGTTCACCCTCCAATGGCTGCCGCGGCTGGCACATTGCGCTGATCTGAAGCCAGGAGCCAGGTGCTTCTCCTGGTCTCTCATGCAGGTATAGGGCCCAAGGACCTGGGCCATTCTTACTGCACTCCCAGGCCACAGCAGAGAGCTGGCCTGGAAGAGGGGCAACCGGGACAGAATCCAGCACCCAGAAAGGGACTAGAACCTGATGTGCTGGCGCCGCAGGCAGAGGATTAGCCTATTGGGCTGTGGCGCAGGCCAAGAATAGATTTTCAATGATCAGACTTTCCCCTAATTTTCACCACTTGAAATATGTGTTTAATGCATAATTATCCTAGAAAAGACAGGGCAGTGTGAAGAGTTCTTGTGATGTTTCTGGCAATTGACTCTTATATTGATTTTTGAAGGGTTTTAATATTGAAGAAAGAGTTTTGGGGACAGTGGTCTAATTTTTGACATTCACTTATTCATTCACTCATTCATTTAATAAACACATATACTAGGGACTGTCTTGGGTGAGAGGGATATGGTGATGAACAAGACTTCCTTTTGCTCCTTGCAGAACTCATGCCCTTAAGTGGACATGGGACATATGGCACAAAAGTAAAACATGTGGTCCTAGGATAGACTCATAAGTAGAACAGTGTGATAATTGAGGTTACAGCATATGCAGAGTGGGTGGGAAGCATTGCAGAGGGAGCCACATAGGCTCGAAGGAATTGAGAGAGAGCATCTTTTGGGGGGAATTTCCAAAACAGGCTTCAAATAATCAGAAGGAATTTGCTGAGTGAATGAAATGGGAAACAAGATTGTTCAAAAGAAAGGAATTACTAAAATATTGTCCTATGTATTTGAAGGCAGGAAATTTTTCTTTTAATGAGTGGTCTGCATTCTATTTGTGTCTGTTAATGGAAGGAGTATATTTGTAGTGTAAATGAATTAATGGACAGCCTCATTATATTTCCAGTGTTTCCCAATATTCAGGAATCTCCTCATTTCTTAAATTTCTGATGACTGTAATTTATTCATGAGCCAGTTGCTAATGTGTTGTCAACCAACCAACATTTTCTTGTTGATGCCCGAGTCTTTGTTATAATGCCATCATTATGCAGTGATAAGCTGATTCACAAATGATAGCAGTTCTAATCAAGTTGAGCTCCTGAGTGACTGAATGGTAGTTCCATTTTATTTCAGGGATCAGCTGTGAGTCATACAAGTTCATCCAAAAAAACAGAGATTAAAGTGTATTGGAGTGCTCCAAGCAGTGCCCCAAATCATGTACAGTTTCTGTGAGTAGAAGAGTTTGTAACTTACAATGGTCTGTATCATTTTCTGTATCTATTTGATGTTCACCTGTATAGGAGAGGTTTGCAATAGTAATGTTACCAACTTACTGGTGTAAGAAATTCTTTCACTCTTTTGCTTGCTTATTTTTTTATCCACTAGTATATACATGGCACAAAGCACAGATCTTCATGCCCTAATGGACACTTAATAGATAATTGTTGGGTGAATAAAGAATTGTACAACTTTAATACTGATAAGAACTGGTGATAAATACTTGACTCTATTGAATATGGGTTAATAGTTTTTAAAAATTTTCTCCTGCATTAGTATGAGAATACAAATAAAACAGTTCCAAAATTTGGAGGACTTTTTTTGCAGTGTTTCAATTTACAGATTAGATTGTCAGGAAAGCAAAACCCTGCATGCCACTCAGAATTATGGAATTCAGAAGAATCAAAATAATAATTCTTTCTTAATCCTATGTACAAGAGGAAATGGAATGTCACAAAGCCATCTAGTGATTCTTGAGTGATGTTACAGATACTAGGGATCTTAAAAGTTTACTGAAAAAATGTTTTATGAAAAAACTATACATGGATTTCAAAATTTTTTCCACCAAGATGAATTTACATTTTTAGTTTCATTTTCTCACAAACTTTCTGAAGTACCCTTGTCCCTTTTTAAGGGAAAAATTACTACCCTGGTATGTCTCTGTTTTCTGCCTCCTTGTGTACACAGATCCCCAGCACATAGTAACATAGCCTTGCACCTGTGTGTTAGGTGGAGTATGTAATGGGAAATGTGACCTCAGTGAGTTGATGCTTGCTTATGCAGGAGTTTGTTGCTATAGCTTCCTATTACATATGCCCTCTGGGAGGATTTGAATAGTATATTATGAAATGACTGCTAGTGCATTCTTTGTACATCAGGATGCAGAAATCTGAGCAGTTTAGTCCCTGAGTATGATATTCATGGCTGTTGTGAATGTGTCCAAAGAATAGACAAGTTCAAAGAGACAGGGACAGAAAGAGAGAGCTATGAAATTTCAGCTAGTGATGGAGTAGAAGAGAGTCATTAGAGACGACATACAAAATCAGTACTATTGTTAGTAGTACTGGGTGCTCCCAGTTCATTTCCCAGTACTGTTACGTTCTATTGTGTTCCCAGTTCATTCCCCCTTTTTTTCTTTAAAGGTTTGATGTTGTTACAATGGGCCATCATCAGGGTTCTGTCTAATCTTACTGGTACTACATTTCAGAGCAACAGTTGTTGAGAAGTATAAAATCTACTGGGTGAAGATGCCTGGTCCTATAATTTCCCAACCAAATGCACTTCCATTTACGACACCTAAAGCTACAGCAGCATCTTTGTCAACGTTACCTCCGGTTTCCCATTTGAACAAATCCGTAAGTCACATTTTTATAACTTCACCAAATGAAATCTCAAAAACAGCACCCTTGGAAATAGTGGTTCTATGCTTGACAAAGTGCATAGAGAAGTAGCCGTACAAGATTGAGGTAGCAAATTGTGTTCTCTGTAGGATCTGAGGGAATGCGTCACTGCAGCAATATGAATTATAGGTTAGAATAAAGAGAAGGTAGGTCCCTGCATGTGCAAGATGTGATTATGACTTTCCCATGTAGTCTATACTAGTAGTGGGTATGTTTTCATTTGAAGACAAATCTGATGAAACCGTTTGCTTTCCTTTTCTCCCTCCCTTCCTTCCTCCCTTCCTTCCTTTCTCATAACCAAATGTCAAACTTGGAAAAGGAACTTAAGCTAAATTTTGAAATGATTCGGAGAAGATTCTTGAAATGGTGATACAACTCTTAGATTCTATTTCATTAAAGCCGAAGAATACTAGGGAATTCTGTGTGCTGAACTGTGGAAAATCTCTTGCAAGCTCATTGGGTAGAATTCCATCTGGGCTTTTGATTCAAAAGAATTATGACTGAACAAGCATACTGGAAAGGGCAGTGCCTCTTAGAAATGTTAGGAAGACTAGTTTCACTGAAGGAGATTCTGATAAATTCGACTTCTTACTTCAGTAACGGGTGTAATGGGAGTGCCTTCAGACAAGTTGTCACAGTTGAAAGAAACAAGCTTAGACCTGAATACTGACTTGCCTACTTTCTATATGTCTTTGGACAAGTCACTTGGCTTTCAAAGTTTCATTTTAAGAAAAGCAAATATCAAGCTCTTTAGTATCACTGTGAGAATTAAACAAAATAATAGATATGTTTTCTTAATGTGCCTTGTGCTTAGTAAATGTTCAGTGTACATTAGTTCCTTTTTTCTTCCTTCTTATCCATTTATACCTGTTTGTTCACTTAGAAAAGACCAAGTAAAGCTTTTTTACCCTAAGTAATTTCTGATTTTGTTTGCCTCCTCTTCTACATTTTGTAAGATGTATATGGGCATCATATTTGATTAAATTATCAGGAATGCTGCACTCTGTTTGACTGTATGCCTAGACTTACTAATAATCTAATGCATCTATTTGTACTAGCTTTCAGTCCAGTCTTAATGCTTATTTGTTTAAAAGCTTTTTTAGAATAATAATCAATCAGTTTGTACCTCAGCTGCCCAATTGGCATCTGTGGACAATATTGTTGTCCTATTTAGTGACTTAAAGACATTAGCTCTTTTTGGAGCTTTTATTGTGTTTCTGTGCCAAGTTTATAACCTCTGATTATAGGGAGGTCCATTCAGAATCATAATAATGCAGCATTTTTAGAGCCGGAAGAGAGCTCAAGGTCCAGTGAGTTCAATTTCCCTCTTTTATATTGAGGTTGTAGGAACCCAGGGAGAAAAAATTCTTTGGCCACCTTAATGGAGTCAAGAAGAGAGCAGAGACCAAAGTCCATGCTTCCTAGTTTCTAGTGGCTTGTTTTCTTTCTGTCTACTACGACTTACCTTTAAGTTCCCTTATTTCTAGTTCCATGAAGTTAATGTTTAGCTCTCTCCTGAAATGTACCGTCACAGACCATTGTAATGAGATCTGTTGCCAAAGTGCAATGATGATATTTTCTTTTTTTGAAAAAGATTTATTTTATTTTATTTGAAAAATAGTGTTACAAAGAGAGAGGGAAAGACAGGGAGAGAGTTCTTCCATACACTGATTGACTCCCAAAATGATTGCAGCAACTGACCAGGGCTGGGCCAGACCAAATCCAGGAGCCAGGAGCTTCTTCTGGGTCTCCCATGTAGATGCAGGGGCCCAAGCTTTTGGGCCATCTTTCTCTGCTTTCCCAGGTGCATTAACAGGGAGCTGGATGGGAAGTGAATCAGCTGGGAATTGAACCGGCGCCCATATGGAATGATGCCATAATGTCATCCCCAGAGCTGCTATTTTCTGAGACTCTCACTCTTACATACCATGCCACATCTGAGTTAAATCACTGCACATTGCTGCTTTTTTTCCTACCCTAAATTACTGCTTTTCTTCAGAATGGTGGAAAATATTGGGGTCACTTTTTTCTTACATTATTTAATTATCAAATTTAAACCTGAATTTTAGAAGTTGAGTCCAAAATTTAAACTTGCCAAGGGTTCGTTTATTTGCCTTGTAAAATTCTGTCTCTGAAAGCTTGAAGATATCTGTTAGATAAGAATATCGACATGGCCTGTGCCTGGGTTCAATACGTGGCGCTAGTTCCTGAATCCAGCTCCCTGCTAATGTAGACTCTGTGAGGTAGTAGTGATGGCTGAAATAATTGTGTTCCTGCCAGCCACCCAAGAAATCTGACGTGGATTCCCAGCTTCCGGCTTTGGCCTCGTCCAGCCCTGGTTATTATGTGCATTTGGGGAATAGACAAGCAGATAGGAGCTCTCTCTCTCTCTAATAAATTACAAAAAATACCAGGAAATTTGTTCTAGAATCTACATATCTACATAATGTTGAGTATTTTTTATATTAAAGGAACTTTGATACTGTTGTGCTATTGCAGACCAACTAGTGTTACGTTTCCAAATTTTAATTAAAATTAATTAAAATTAAAAGTTCACAACACAACCACTGCTCTGAGCATTTCTAATTTGGGGTGTTTCTTTTGTTGCCTTGTTTGAATCCTTATTAGGAAGAAGTATTCATTCTCATTAAAACTCATACATGAAGGTAGTGGCTCTTCTGTCTTTGGCAATGAACCACTTGTTTGATAATGAAGATTTTTTTCCCTTGTCATTTTTCTAGTTCAGTGCCTCAGAATGTGGGGACAAGAAGTTCTGTATTAGGAGCCCTTTCAACTGTGACCCTGAGAAGGATCGTGCTTGCTTCTTCTTATCCTTCACAAGAGATGACTCGTCGGTGATAGTTGAAATGAGCGGTCCCAGTACAGGATATTTATCCTTTGCATTTTCTCATGACCGATGGATGGTTGGTACCTCTCACTTACATAAGTGGTAGTGAAAGGAGAATCACTGGAGTGGGCTCTAATTAGCAGTAGATTGGCTGTTTGTTCCAGAGGCATGTTACCACACTGACAGGTGGGATGGGAAAGGAGAAACTCACTTTGCACAGATTCTAAGTTAAACAACATTGAGTGTTTCATTGGTGTAATAACGACAATTACATACTGCTAAGAATAGGCTGTCCTAAGAAAAGTTAGGAAAATCATTTTATTTCCAGTGGATTTGCCACATTATGTGTGTGTATCTCTGTGATAAAACAGGAAGCTCAGTTAAAAAAGTTGCTCTACATAAAATGTTATGTTGTTTGTAATGCTTTTCTAACCACAGTTGTCTATTTAAGTGCCATGTGTTTCTTCCCTTGGTGTCCCAATTTTGGTATCATCAGAACATTTCCCAAACAGGATTAAACCTGTGTGTCCAGGTACAATGAATTAATTATCACTAGGCTCCCTCATCAATCTGCAGGAGGCATTTGTTTAAGCCTGTTCTTGCTCTCCCTGAGTGGTGCTGAATGGATCCATGATTCTGTAGGTGGCAGCCTTGTGCTATGGTGCGGAAAAACAGAATGCTGCAAAAACATTTTGCTTCCCCAGGAAAAAGAGTATTGTGTCTAGGACATGTGGAAATCCTCTTTAGGCAGAGTTGGCAGTAGGCAGCAGGGATGATCATGATTTGAGGAATTCCTTATTTCCATATTAGCAAAGGCAAGGAATTGTTCCTTGAGTGTTTTTTCCCTGTCAGGGTTTAAACTTAAAACTACTTCTTTAGGGTATCATGTTTTATTTTATTTTATTTATTTTTTAAAGATTTATTTATTTATTTAAAAGGCAGGCATATAGAGAGAGGAGACAGAAAAGGAGAGAGAGAGAAGGAGGGAGAAATCTTCCATCGACTGGTTCACTCCTCAAATGGCTGCAATGGCCAGAGCTTGGCTGGTCCAAAGCCAGGAGCCAAGTGCTTCTTCCAGATCTCCTACATGGGGTGCAGGGCCCCAAGTGCTTGGGCCATCCTCTGCTGCTTTTTTCAGGTGCATTAGCAGGGAGCTAGATACTAAGTAGAGCAGCCAGGACTTGAATTGCACATATGGGATGCTGGTGAGGTGACAGCTTAACCCTCTGTGCCACAAGGACAGCCCCTCAAAAATTTTCTTTGTCAAAATAATTTTCTTTTAATTCATTGTTCCATGGTTTTTGTTTTGAAATATCCTCACTTAGGACATTTTGAACTTTTCCCCTTCAACGTGGCTTTTATGGAAAATTTTATACTTGCTCAAATGATGCTGCAGTTGATCAAAAACACTTTTCCTCCTTCCATTTGGTAATTGCCCTCCGCCCCGTAGCTATTATTTTAGGTCTTCTCAGTGCTGGCAAAAATGAACCAACTTCGATGCATGAGATGGATAATGAGGCTGGGTTAAAAATAAAACACGCCTTAAAGCAAAAACAAAGATGGCCTTAATGCTTGTGGTGTGAACTGAAAAAACAACCATGAAAGCAATTTGGAAGATGATTCCAAAAAGAATTAACAATGATGGCTTTGTTGAATAAATCTGTGGTTTTGTCAGGTTCATCTCTGTGCTATAGCATGCTACAGTCAAGAAAAATTATATTCCAGCATTTCATAGCCAAAATTCATGCTATAGTATACCATCACATTTTCTTTTACTGTCTACAAAGAGTCTGTGAATAAGGGAGAAAGACAATACTACTGCACTGAGTGTGGTGATAAGTGGCCTATGGGTGAGCCAGGTATTTCTGTTCTAAATTGTAGGTATAGAGGGCACAAATGCATGTATCTCTAATTCATGATATATTTATCTCACTTAGAAATCTTATCTTAGAAATAAGTGCTACCTTATTTCTAGGATAATACTCATCAAAAATGTTTATAAAAACGACTTAATTATGCAGGTGCAGTTGATTTACAGAGCAATCCTGTTTAATGACTAAAGTCATCTGTACACCTGTTTGCTAAAGTTGGGGGGAATGAATCATCCTCAAAATATATTTTTAAGTGATATTTCTATTTTTGGTTGCTATTTTTAAGTTTTAGGGCATTTTTATGACCTTGGTTTCTTTTGAGTATATAATGTAAATTTGAATATTGAAGGTATCTGATGATAACTAACTGGGTAACCTAAGTTATACCTTTTTCCCATTTGGCTTGTAATTAATGATAGCAATTATTTTGTTGTTCGACTTCATCACTAAAATTCATGAAAAGTGTAATTTTCCATATTTTTGCTAATAATGAGTTGCTAATATTTTAATTTTAACTGAAATTCCAAGTACCAATGCCTTCCCTGTCTGAGATATTTTGCTAAGCAGTATAAAAGGACTTTAAGGAGCTTATGGCATAATGGAAATAAAGCATAAAAATTAAAAATACAAACTTTATTTATCAACATAAGCTCCATCAAATTCAAGACACTTCTCTAAGTGATGACAGCAGCCATTTAATCTATCCCTAAAGAGCTGAAGGTCTTTGGTATTCTACTGTGTCATTGCAGCCTTTTTTACATTATCTACTAAAGAAAACTGGGCATCTTTTAGTTTTTTTTTTTAAGGTTAGGAAACAAATGCAGCCTGAAGGAGCCAAATCAAGACTGTAAGGTGGATCCCTAAAGATTTCTCATCAAAACTCTTGCAAAATTGTCCTTGTTGAATAAGAATGAGCAGGAGCATTATCATGGTAAAGACTCTCTGGTGAAGCTTCTGGGGCATCATTCTGCTAAAGTTTTGACTTTCTCAAAACACTCTCCTAATATGTTCATTTTTTGGGCCTTCAGAAAGTCAACAGCAAAATGCTTTGAGTATCCCCCAAACTGTTGCATGACCTTTGCTCCTGACTGGTACATTTTTGCTTTGACGGGACCACTTCTGCCTTTTTGTAGCCATGGATATGATTGTGCATTGTCTTTAGGATCATACTGTTAATGCCGTGTCTCATATCCTGCTACAGCTTTTGGAAGAACTGTCTCAGAATCTTAATTCCACTTGTTTAAAATTTCCATTGAAAGCGCTGCTCTTTTTTGCAGTTGATCTGGCACAAGAGTTTGGGCAACCAGTGAGCAGGAAAGTTTGCTCCACTTTGATGTTTCAGTCAGGATTGTGTAAGATAACCCATTTGAGATGTTTATGATGTTGTTTATTATCTCTGCTGTTAATCATTGGTCATTTTTTATTAGGGTGCACACAAGATTTTTAATTTTTCCCTTGAAAATTGGTATAAATGTTCTGCTGCTGTAGGCTTCTTCTTCTTCTTTTTTTTTTTTTGAAAGATATATTTATTTATTTGAAAGTCAGAGTTACACAGAGATAGGAGAGGTAGAGAGAGAGAGGTCTTCCATCTGCTGGTTCACTCCCCAATTGGCTGCAACGGCCAGAGCTGTGCTGATCCGAAGCCAGGAGCCAGGAGCTTCTTCCAGGTCTTACCACACGGGTGCAAGGGCCCAAGGACTTGAACCATCTTCTACTGCTTTCCCAGGCCACAGCAGAGAGCTGGATGGGAAGTGGAGCATCCGGGTCTTGAACCGGCAAGTGGGCTTCATCTTCAACATGATCTTGTTCTTTCTTAAAATGAATCCTCTATTTGTAAATGAGTGATTTCTTTGAGGCATTGTCCCTATAAACATTTTCTGTAGCATCAGTGATTTTTCCATTCTTCTACCCAAACTTCTCCATAAATTTGATGTATGTTCTTGCTTCAATTTTAACAGAATTCATGTTTCTTTTGTAAGGGTTTTTTTCAAACTGATGTCCTGTCTTCATTAGTACCACAAATTAAATCCTGTTCAGACATGTAGTAAGTTAGAATGTGTTTATTTGGGTGCAAAGAATTTTTGAAACCATGCACAGTTTCTTCATAATATACATTCTCCATGAACCTTTTGAAGATCCCTTCTGTAAAGTCATCAATTATAACATTATTAGCTTCTATTCTTTTTGTTCCCCTGCTGAGTAATAAAAAAAAAAAACAAAAAACAAAAAACCAGAATCTAAGTTTCTCCTACCAGTAGTCAGAGCAGATCACTTCTGCTACCCCGAAGGATGATTTCTCCCTACCAGCAAAGCAAACAATCTGTTCTGCAGCACAGATCAGCTGGCTGTCTTCTGATTCAATTCTCTTCTGACACTGTCTACCTGAAAATATTGTCAGACTCCACAGGTCACCAAAAAGTGCCCTCAATCCCCTTTAGATACCATTGCGAGTCCCAGGTGGTTTTACCTGAGCTTCTGACCAACAGGCTATAAACCAGGTTTCCCACAACCTCCTCCTCTGGTTTCAGTAATTTGCTGGAGTAGCCCACAGAACTCAGGGAAACACATTTACTGCTTCATTGTGAAGGATGTGATTAAGGAAGCAGATGAAGACACACATGGGGCAAATTATGGGAGAGGAGACAAGGAGCTCCCATGCTCTCTGTGCGTGCACCATCCTCTAGGAACCTCCACATGTTCAGCTATCAGGATGCTTTCCAAGCCATATACTTTTAGGTTTGTATGGAGGCTTCAGCACACAGGCACAATTGATCAAATTACTGACCAGTGGTGATTAACTTAATCTTTAGATCCTCTCTATTTCCTGGAAATTGTGAGATTAGACCAGAAATCCCAGTTCTTGAATCCTGAGGCTGCTTAGTGTCTGCCAGCCACCAGTTGCTTCATCAGCATACAAAAGGATAAATCACTTTGGAGAGTACAAAGATTTTAGGGATTATATACCAGGATTGTACCTGCCCTGTATAATTTTACTCCGCATATAATCTCTCCCTGGCTGAACTCTAGGATATTCAGTCTTGACATCTCATAGACTCCAGACTGATTTCTTTTCTTTTTCTTTCTTTTTTTTTTTTGACAGGCAGAGTGGACAGTGAGAGAGAGAGACAGAGAGAAAGTCTTCCTTTGCCATTGGTTCACCCTCCAATGGCCGCCGCGGCTGGCATGCTGCGGCCGGCGCACTGCGCTGATCCGAAGGCAGGAGCCAGGTGCTTATCATGGTCTCCCATGGGGTGCAGGGCCCAAGCACTTGGGCCATCCTCCACTGCACTCCTGGGCCACAGCAGAGAGCTGGCCTGGAAGAAGGGCAACCGGGACAGAATCCGGCACCCCGACCGGGACTAGAACCCAGTGTGCTGGCGCCGCAAGGCAGAGGATTAGCCTAGTGAGCCGTGGTGCCAGCCAGACTGATTTCTACATGTTGGCTGATCTCATCCAGATGGGTGTTCCTGGACAACACAAATCAACATGTATAAATTGAACTTAGTCTAACCTCCTAATGTCTTCTTGTGTTCTCCAGCTTTAGTGATCAACAATAATATTTTTTAAACTTTTATTTAGTACATATAAATTTCCAAAATACAGCTTATGGATTACAATGGGTCTCCACCCCATAACTTCCCTCCCACCTGCACCCCTCCCATCTCCCGCTCCCTCTCCCATTCCATTCACATTAAGATTCATTTTCAATTATCTTTATATACAGAAGATCGATTTAGTATATATTAAGTAAAGATTTCATCAGTTTGTACCCACACAGAACATAAAGTGTAAAATACTGTTTCAGTACTAGTTATAGCATTACTTCACATTGGACAACACATTAAGGACAGAGATCCTACATGAGGAGTAAGTACACAGTGACTCCTGTTGTGATAACAATAATATTAAAAAACAGCTACCAGTGTTGATTGCTAGGTTCTTGTTAGGTACTGTCCTAGCCATCTTATAGAACATCTTGTTTATTTCTCCCATCATCTTCCCTGGTGATTCAGAGAAATTTTCACTGTGACTTAGATTCTTCCCTTTCTCTCATCCCTTAGGTCCTTCTTACTCCCATTTCAATCTTTTTTGTTTTAAAAAGTTTTCATATATGTAAAAAATGGAATGAACAGTACAATGAAGACTCATGAGTCTTCTACCTAGATTTGCCACTTTTTCTCTGTATGTCTTCTATCTATTGCAACTGATTTATGTCTTATATAAAAATATAAAAATTTTTCCCTGAACTATTTGCAACTATGTTTACTTGTATATATCATGAGATTTCATCCCTCAATTTTTCAGTATGTGTCTCCTAAGAATTGGGACATTTCTTCTACATTGAGGCAATTTAACAGATGTAATAATTTTTATGTAATATATAGTCTAAATTCTGATTTCCCCAATTGTTCCAATGAAGTCCTTTATAGCTGTTTTTTTTTTTTTAATTAAAGAAAACTTGTGATCTAAGATTCAATTAGCTATTATTCAATGCATTGTTATATCTCTCTGGTCTCCTTTTCTATTTTTTTTTCTTTTGGGAAAGCTGTTTTGTAGAATATTCTAAAATTTATATGATAGATTCATGTTAAAATTTTTGGTACAAGTACTACATAAGAGATGTTGTTTGTACATCAGTGCATCCAATCAAAAGGTACATATCAATTCATTCTATTACTGATGCTTCAATGTTTGATTATTGGTGTCTGTCAGATTTCTGTAGAATATATTTTTCTTTGTAATCAGTCAGTAATGTGTGGGATGAGTGTCATCTCAACAGTATGTTTCATAATAACCTATTATCAAATGGTTTTAGCATTTACTGATGTTCTTTCTCTGAATTGGTTGTTAGATTTGTGGTTTGAAAATGGTGATTTTCTAGGTGTTTATTAGCTGTTTATTTCTTCTGAAGAGAAGAGCTTTCTTTTCATTGTGTTTCCCTTCCTTTTGGATTATTATTGGGACCTAATGAAGTCCTTTTGTCCACATGTTGTATTTTATTTCCACTATCCTTCATTTGGATGGCTATATTGACCATTATGTGGCCAATGGGAACCTCTTCAAGTTGGCTTCTGATTTTTTTCATACTATTTGTTAAACTCTTTATTTAGTATAGAGTTAATTGTATATATATAAAGTTAATTGAAAATATATCTTAATAAAAAATAAGGATGGGAATAGGAGATTGAAGAGGAAGAGGGGTGGGAGTGTGGGTGGGAGAGGGATACAATGGGAAGAATCATTATATTCCTAAAGTTGTACTTATGAAATACATGAAGTTTATATTCCTTAAATAAAAGGTTTCTGGGAAAAAATGATGTCCCCCCCCAAAAAAAGATTTAATTTTTAGAGTTAAGGAGTATTGGAGACTAAAAGACATATAGAAATTAGACTTTGTGACTAAAAAATTTCTTCTTGAATTCACATTTTTTGTCTGAACTACATACTATTCAATATGTTGAGTGTACAGTATTTAATGATGGTATCTTCCATCTTAAAGTTACCAAGAGTATCCCATACAATGCATTATACTCACATATTAACATATATAGGATGTAGGATATTGATGTTTATTGACAAACATCTAGGACAATGTTCATGGTAAGATAAGTGAAAAAAAAAACAAAGGAAATGAAACTGTGTTTTTCCATTTGGGAAGGAAAAAAACAGGTACAAATACAAATAGGTTTAGATGAATGCACACCACATTTTAATAGTGGTATTCAGTTGGTGATGGGTTTATGACTATATAAGCATGTTATATGTATATTTTTGTCTATTATTTATGATGCAGTTTTTAGTGCTTTTGTAATGTAACAAAATTATTTCTAAATAGTGAATGGAGCAGTTCTCTAGAATTTATTATATCATTTAAGATTGAATCAGTAAATTGTTTTTTATTAAAAGTTAAAAATTATTTATTTGAAAAATAGAGAGATGGAGAGATAGAGAGAGAGAGAGAAATCTTTCACTTGTTGGTTCACTTACAAATGCCTGTGACAGCCAAGGCTGGGAAAAGTTGAAGCCAGAAGATAAGAATTCAGTCTGTGTTACCATGTGGGCAGTGGGGACCCAAATACTCAGGCCATCACCTTCTGCCTCTCAGAGTGTGCTTTAGCAGAAAGCCAGAATTAGAAGTGGAGTCAGGACTCAAAGCCAGACAATCTGATGTGGATGTGGGCAAAATAAGTGGCATCTTAGCCATTGTGCCAATTGTCCACCCTGGTAAATTATATATATATATATATATATATTTTTTTTTTTGACAGGCAGAGTGGACAGTGAGAGAGAGAGACAGAGAGAAAGGTCTTCCTTTGCCGTTGGTTCACCCTCCAATGGCCGCCGCGGCTGGCGCGTTGCGGCCGGCGCACCGCACTGATCTGATGGCAGGAGCCAGGTGCTTATCCTGGTCTCCCATGGGGTGCAGGGCCCAAGTACTTGGGCCATCCTCCACTGTACTCCCTGGCCACAGCAGAGAGCTGGCCTGGAAGAGGGGCAACCGGGACAGAATCCGGTGCCCCAACTGGGACTAGAACCCGATGTGCCAGCGCCGCAAGGTGGAGGATTAGCCTAGTGAGCTGCGGCGCCGGCCTGGTAAATTATATTTTAAACAATCATATAGTATTTGATTTCATTAAAGACCTTTAGTGAAAGTTAATATGATGCTGACATTCCTTTAAATAATTCTAATTTGTAATTATTTTTCAGGGTGATGATGATGCTTATATATGTATTCATGAAGATCAGATGGTGCATATACAGCCTTCCCATTTGACCGGGCGAAGTCACCCTGTGATTGACTCCAAGGTAGAAGTGGAAAATTCTAAGTACCTCCACCTGACTGGTCCACCTTCTTGCTACGTGACTGTCACCAGGGCCACTCTCCATGATCACTCCAATTCCCACAGTTAGGAGCTTAGCCCGAGGTGGCATGGCAGCAGGTCCCTCTCTCATTGTGATCCCTCAGAAACTTTTGTAGAAAAATTTGAAATTTTTAAAAAGATTTATTTTATTTATTTGGAAGGCAGAGTGACAAACAGAAGGGGAGAGAGAGAGAGGAATCTTCCATCTACTGAGTCACTCCCTAAATGTCCACATTGTCTGGGGCTGGGCTACTTTGAAGCCAGGAGCAAGGAACTCCATCCAGGTCCCCCTCGTGGGTGACAGGGGCCCAAGCACTTGGACCATCTTCTGTTGCTTTTTGTAGGCACATTAGCAGGGAGCTGGATTGGAAAGAGGCCAGGACTTGAACCCTTGCTCTGATATGGGCTGCTGTTGGCAGCTTAACCCACTACGCTGCAATGCTGGACCCTGAAAAACATGAGTTTTTGCTTGTGTCACTAAGTCCTTTGTGTTGCATCTTACAAAAAAATGTTTTATGGTTTGTTAAGATTGTCAGAGCAGCAGCCCCTTTTCAAAGCTTAGAAATAGCTTTTAAGAAGAGGTCTATGTTAGTGACAGAAGAGTTTCTTTACCAGTGAGGAGGGCCACACATGAGTATGATAAGGACTTGACCTTGGGCAATTGTCTTAAGTGCCTTGGATGGCATTTGTGCCAAAGGTGAGCTATTTCTGATAGAGAATTACCTTTTTCACAGGACAATTGACAAACCAATGAGCTTTGAAGGAGCAGTAGTCATCATTTAATGACATAGCAAAGTGCGCTGACCTAACGGTAGCTGTCATTCAGTGACAACCATGCGTTGCTTTCCCATGGATTTAGCTTCCGCAGCTGGCTTGGAGCTTTTCCCTAGTTCCATGTTAACTGTTGGCCATAATGATTTTTTTCAGGGTTTCCCATTGTGAGCTATAGTGGCCTGATGGAATGATGTCATTTGCCTAAGTCTCTAAGTTGGGTGGAGGAATTGTGAGATTCTGGCTCAAAGTAAAAACAATATGTTTGGAAAATGGATAAAGACAAATGAACTGGGAGAAAATGTTTCTTGTACTTCAAAGAGGAAGTGAAAAAACAGTTACATTGCAGATACAACCTGCACATACGATCTTAAGAAATGCAACTGAGCTTCTCGGGTCAAAACATTGGGAAAACCTACTGTTGCAGCATCATATTGGATAGATGGTGTTTGAAAGTGGTATTAAAATGCTGCAGGATTCAATAAATTGGAGTTAGTGCGAGATGATATGATGTAGGAGGATAAGTCCATGAAAGAAGTCATAAGTCTTCCTGGCAATCTCCATAATGACGGATGTTTCACCATGAGGCATCAGGTCTTGCCTAAAGAGTGATGGACAAAATATGAGAAGGATAAGTTCTACCTTGAGCCATATCTGAAAGAGGTTATCTGGGAAAGAAGAGAGAGAGGAGAATGACAAAAAAGTCATCATAGAGTTAAAAATCAGTGAATCAATGGATACAGCTGTCCTCCAAGTGTTTTTATGAAGTTGGCTAAGTCTGAAACACAACTTAAGATGCATTTAGTCTGCAGGTATGTTCCTTTAGATAAATGTCTATTGTAATAAAAAAAAAAGAAAGGCAGCAGAACAAGTCTTGTCTTGATCATATCTTAACCTGATCAAATATTTGGAGGTACTGAGAAGGCCCACTGTGTGTGTTTGCAGGCTGTTCTTGAGGATGTATCTTGGAGGTTGGAAGATGGTATTATGCAGTGTTCTTTTAGAAGAAACATCACCTTACCTGGGGTGGAGAATAGGTTTGATCTAAACACAAGCTACTACATATTTCTAGCAGATGGTGTAGCTAAAGATGGTAAGTATCTTTACAAATATAAAATGCCTTTGAAAGTTCTTTCAGTATCTCTTCTTTCATCCATTTCCCACTCTTTTGGAGGAAATACTGTAATTGCTCATCTCTTTTAAAAAAGGATTTGTTTATTAATTTATTTGAAAGGCAGAGTGACAGAGAGAGGTGGAGAGAGAGAGAGAGAGAAAGAAAAAGAAAAAGATTGTCCATTCATTGGTTCACTTCCTAAATGCTTGCTACAGCTGAGGCTGGACCAATGTGAAGCCATAACCAGATCTCTTGGTCTCCTCGCTGCCTTCCCAGGTGCATTAGCAGTAAGCTATATCAGAAGCAGAGGCACTGGCACTTGCACCAGCACTCTGATGCGGGATGCCAGTGTTGCAAGTGGCAGCTTAACCTGCTGCGCCACAATGCCAGCCCCTGTAATTGTTCATCTTTAAGGTACACATTTGTGGGTAAATTGTCATAACCCCTTTCCATTTTTCCTGAAAATTTGACTTTTGGTTAGCCTTCTAGTTCTGTTTCCCTGGAAACTCGATAGAGTATCAACTCCGTTAGAAGACAATGTTATTTGTGATCAAAATGGCTTCTGGTTGGTAGAATACATTTGGAACAGAACAACTATAAATCCTTTGTAAGAAGCTGTCCCTTTGGATTTCCTGGAGTGTGGGAACAATGGCATGTCCCTCACAAGGACCTTAGACACTGCCTTTGGTATTGTTGCAATAGATATTAGCTCTTGTGGGAAAACCCTCCTGATAAGAATCTCATATCCATGGACCTGAGCTGTCTCCAGGGTGGTGGCAAGAGGGTCAAGCTCCTGCTCAGTTGAATTCGCTGCTATAAGAGCTCCCACTGAAGGAGAGTTTACCATGCTGCCCTGCATCCTTTTAAGTGGTTCCAATGCCCAGTAGAGTCTAAGCCGGTATTAGGAATCTGTATGTTTAGTTTGTCCTTATGAAGGTGACCTCGGTGTATATCACAACACATAGGAATAATCAGATTTTATTTAACATCCGAGCTAATGATGCTTTGAACTGTAGGAAATGCCACTGTAGAACTTAGTGACTCATCTCTCTGGAGATAATGTGGCTCCAAATTTTGAGAATGTAGCCTACTTTGAAAATGGTGAGAAGCTGGACATATACAATGGAGAGTTGGGGTAGGAGGTCAGGGTAAACAAAAAGGAAGACCAAGAAATGTGTTATAGCCAGGCTAGCATGTGATTTGATTTTTCTACTGTTGGTATAGTGGAGCCCCAAGTGCGTTTTGAAGCAGGCTAAAATATCTCCTGAGTGTTAGAGAAAATCTAGGAACATTCGTGCATTTACTTGTAGGTGCATTTATCTTAGTCCAATCATGGGTTCTTATTTGTACAAGCTACAGCAAACATAGCTTGAAAATTTCTTGGCTAAGTGATAATAAAGACTAAAATTACTTAGTGTTTGTGGGTTAAGCATTTTACATAGATTCTTCAATTTTATCTTCATAAAAGAAAATCTAGAGTTGTAATATTATTTCCTCTAGGGGGAAACCAAGGCTTAGGGAGATCAAGTCATTTGCCCAGACATTTCAATAATGGCAGAGCTGGAACCCCCACTCTACCTCAGAGCCTGTGTATTCAGTAATTTAGAACATGGGAAAATGAGAAAATGAATTTTTAAAGAGGAGAAGATCAAATAATTTTGTTGAAAATAGTTACTGCTAGACTTGCATGCTACTATTATTATTGCAGCCATCTCTTACCTCACATTATGCACATCTCATTCACTTCTTGCAGAGGCTTTGCAAGTAGGAATCACATTGCCCAAATGAAACAAGCAGGAAAATCTGGCAGTAAAGCCAGGTTCTTCCAGTTGTAAAAATTCCAGGCTGCTTCCATTGCCGCTCTGCATGTTCTAGGTGAGCCATAAATGATTATTAGCTCAGAAGTATTTGTTAAATTGTGAGGGATTTTAACAGTTGTCATTTACACTTTAAAGTTTTATACTTAAAAAACTGATACCTTAAAAGAAAAGTGGGACAGACATTGTGACTCGACAGGTTAGGCGCTAACTTGGGAGACTTGCGTTTCATGTTGGAGTGGCTGGGATCAAGTGCTGTCTCTGCTTCCTGCTAATGCTTGGTCCAGCTTCCCGCTAATGCATGCCTCAGAAGACAGCAGGTACTGAGTCCTTGCCACCATGTGGGAGACCTGGATGGAGATCTTTGCTCCTGACTTTGGTCTTGCCCATTCCTGGCTGTTGTGGACGTTTGGGGAGTGAACCAGCAGATGGAAGATTTCTCTCTCTCTTTGCCTTTTAAATAAATACAGATAAAAACAAAAGCAATTTCATTTCAAGGGAGGAAGTCTTTTGTAAAATAAATTGTGTGTGACAATGGCAAAGGTTTCTGCACAGATCAGCATTGTAGAAACAGGCCATAGCTTCTTATAGAAAGCTTGTTTTAAGTGATAGTTCTGATAGTCCCTCAGAAAAACCTAGTGTGTGATACATGTGAAGAACAGAGCATTGCTCCATCTCTTGTTCTGCTGCATTGCTGTGCTGATGGCCTGGGAGGGAGATCTCTGTCTTGTCTCTTATGATGTTTCTGCAAGTGTGAGGTGTGGAGATTAAACAACCTGCTTTAGAACCATGTGGAGGCACTGCTACAGATAAAGGTTCCTTAAGTCCATCCCAGACCACTGAATTTCAGTTGGTGTGTAGACTTGGTATTTTAACCACATTTTAGGTGATTATTATTATTATTATTTTTTGACAGGCAGAGTGGACAGAGAGAGAGAGACAGAGAGAAAGGTCTTCCTTTTGCCGTTGGTTCAACCTCCAATGGCCGCCATGGCCGGTGCACTGCGCTGATCCGCAGGCAGGAGCCAAGTGCTTCTCCTGGTCTCCCATGGGGTGCAGGGCCCAAGCACTTGGGCCATCCTCCACTGCACTCCCGGGCCATAGCAAAGAGCTGGCCTGGAAGAAGGGCAACCGGGACAGAATCCGGAGCCCCGACTGGGACTAGAACCCGGTGTGCTGGCGCCGCAAGGCGGAGGATTAGCCTAGTGAGCTGCGGCGCCGGCCCTTTAGGTGATTATTGCATACTAGAGTCTGATAACTTATTGCTCTTGGATAGGGCTCTCCCAACTAAGGTGCATATTGTGAGACAGTGCAGGGGAGACAAGGAACAAGGCTATGACTTACTCTTCTGATGTATTTTCTTTTTCTTTTTTTTATTTGACAGACAGAGTTAGACAATGAGAAAGAGAGAGAGAGAGAGAGAGAGAGAGAGAGAGAGAGAAAGGTCTTCCTTCTGTTGGTTCACCCCCAAATGGCCGCCATGGCCGGCGTGCTGCGCCGATCCAAAGCCAGGAGCCAGGTGCTTCCTCCTGGTCTCCCATGTGGGTGCAGGGTCCAAGCACTTGGGCCATCCTCCACTGCCTTCCCGGGCCCAGATATATTTTCATCTCATTTAAAAATTTTCTTTTTTGTTATATTTTATAATGTATATGAGTATTAAAGCAATATATCTGAAGATCTTTATTAACAAAAGTGTACATATGTTGTAAGCACATGCTTAATTTTTTTAAAGATTTATTTATTTATTTGAGAGGCAGAGTTTCAGGCAGAGAAAGAGAGAGACAGAGAGGTCTTCCAACCACTGGTTCACTCCCCAAATGCCTGCTACGGCTGGAACTGAGCCAGTCCGAAGCCAGGAGCCAGGAACCAGGAGCCAGGAGCCAGGAGCTTCTTCCAGGTATCTCCCATGGGTTTAGGGGCCCAAGCACTTGGGCCATTTTCTACTGCTTTCCTAGGCCATAAACAGAGTGCTGGATTGGAAAAGGAGCAGCTGGGACACCAAGCAGTGCCCATATGGGATGCTGGTGCCACAGGCGGAGGCTTAGCCTGCTATGCCACAGCACTGGCCAGTAGAATGCAAAGCAAAGAAAAACACCCAAAATTGCTAGGTTAGACATTGTTTTTCTAGGTAATTCATTCTCCAGTTCCTTTGTAATGAAGAACAAAGGAGAGTTACCATAGGAATCGTTCTTTTTTATTTTTTAATCATATGTATGTGAATCATTTATAAGTTGAAGTCTGCTTAAAAGCAGTGAGACTTTGTAAGGTCTCACTGTAAAATATAATAAAAAAAGAAAATTTTTAAATGAGATGAAAATACTTCTGAAGAGTAAGTCCTAGTCTTGTTCCTTGTCTCCCCTGCACTGCCTCACAATGAGCACCTTAGTTGGGAGAGCCCTATCCAAGAGCAAGGTCATTTTAGAAAGCAATCACATAATCTCTGTAACTCATCTAAATGTAATGTGCTGAGTTTCGGTCACATTCATAAAGATCTATTCATTTCAACCTTTTTCTAATGTGTTTTTTTCAGAAGGCTACCCTACCTTGAAACAAGCAGTTATATGAAATACTATCTTTAAACTCAAAGATGGAAATAATTTAGGTGAATAAATAATTCACCTAAATTAGGACAGTTAGGACATCTACTAATGTATATGATGAGTGAAGTACAGACCTTGTTATGACATGACCTGCTATTTAAAGAATCCCGGAACGCTGCAGCTCACATAATACTGTGAAGTCTTGCACTAAGCATTAACTAAGCCTCTGCTAGAGAGGAACTGCAACATTAGAATGGAGCCGTCCACTGGGGCTCCAAAATTATACCGCACTTCTGCTTTCAGCAAGGTGAGCGTCATAAGCCACAGCTCTACGATGATGACTCAGAGTTTAAAAACACTTTTCTTCCGAATTGTCTCTCAGGCTCTGTGGGAATGTGGTTTCATCTCTGCTGCTCAATGAATGCAGGATTTCCAGCTTCTTAGTGGCTTTGTCATTTTTGATGGTTTTCTTTATCATTTTCATTTTCTTTTTGATGCTTTTGCGGCTCCTGACGGTTCCTGTCTCTCCTTGACACTGTCTTCTCTAGGCATTCATTACATGAAACTGCTCGTTTCTCCTTTATGTCTGATCTTCTCTGTTATAACTGGCTATGGTGTGATAGTAGTCGATGAATGAATAAGCAGGTGTCCTAACACCATTATTTGACTAGTCCGTTTTTAACTCCAGTGCTTCAAAAGCTTTTCTACCATACTCTAACAAAAGAACTATCAATAAATCAAACTATTCTAGTTCTCCCATTGGTTTACTTGTCTAATCTTGCATTAGTTGGAATTACTATAGCTTTCTAATAGGTTATAAATTTTGATGGAACATAATTTCCCTCTACTTTCCAGAATTCTTTTTTTTTTTTTTTAAAGATTTATTTATATTTGAAAGGCAGAGTTACAGAAAGAGAGAGAGAGAGAGAGAAGGTGGTATCTTCCATCTGCTGGTTCACTCCCCAAATGGTCACAATGGCTAGGGCTGGGCCAGGCTGAAGCCAGAAGCTTAGAACTCCATCCGGGCCTCTCACATGGGAACAGTGGCTCACATACTTGTGCCATTTTCTGCTTTCCCAGACACATTAGCTGGGAGCTGGTTTGGAAATAGAGAATCCAGGACTTGAACTGGTGTCTGTAAGGGATGCTGGCATTGTAGGAGGTGGCTTAACCCAATGCATCACAATGCTTGCCCCTAGAATTCTTGACTCTTTATTGTATATCTGTTCTTCTAAATGGACTTTAGAAATGATTTGTCAAATCCTGTTAAAAATCCTGTTGGGTTGTGATTCAAATTGCAAAGAAATTTCATGTTTATTTGGAGATTAGTAACTCTTTGCAACAGTGAACCTTCATATCTAAGAACATGTTAGGATATTCCATTTATTCAGATTCTGTATAGATGTATCTTTCAGTGAAATTTTGTGGTTTTCTTCATATCCCATAAAAGACTTTTGTTTTTGAAAAAAGGCAGAGTGACAGAGGGACACACACACACACACACACACACAATCTTTCATCTGCTACTTTAGCCCTGAATGGCCTCAACAGTCAGGGCTGAACCAAGCTGAAACCGGGAGCCAGGAACTCATCCTGGTCTCCCAAGAAGGTGGCAGGGGCCCAGGCACTTGGACCATCTTCTGCCCCCTTCCCAGGCATATTAGCAGGGAGCTGGGTCAGAAGCAGAGCAGCCAGGACTCAAACTGGCACTCCAAAATGGGATGCTGGTATTGCAAGCCATGGCTTAACTCTCTGCACCACAACACTGTTTTATTTTATTTTTTTTGGTTACTTTGTTCCTAGCTATTTTATAGTCTTCTAAAAGAAACTATTGTCAATGGCATTGTTTTGCATGCATTTTCTAAATTTCTTGGTATTTAGGAAAGTTACTTATCTTTGAATACTTATGAAGTTAACTACCTAGTTTTCCAGTTGATTATCTTGGATTTTCTGTTTTATATCTTGGATAACTGTGATAGGTTAATAGCCCTCATTTTCTTTCTTTTCTCATTGCATTGTCTAGTTCTCCCAGAACAATGTAGAATGGCGGTGGTGACATAACAAGCATTCTTTTGTTCCTGATTATGACTCAAATGTCTCTGATATTCAATGTTATGTATCTTGTTTGTTGTGTTTTTCTGCTAGATTTCCTTTGTTGTTTTGAAGAGATGTTTTTCTGTTTCTAACTTTACTAAGAGTTCATATCATGAACATGTGCTGATTTTCACCAAATGTCTTTTGGGCAGCCCTTGAGATGATTTTTATTATTATTACTCTCACAAATTTCTTTTTTGTTTTGTTTTGTTTTAAAGATTTATTTATTTGAAAGGCAGAGTTAGAAAGACGCGGAGAGAGAGAGAGAGAGATAGAAATAGAGAGAGATAGAGAGAGAGATATCTTCCATCTGCTGGCTTGCTCCCCAAATGGCCGCAATGGCCGGAGCTGGGCCGATCTGAAGCCAAAAGCCAGGAGCCTCCTTCGGATCTCCCGTGTGAGTGCAGGGACCTAAAGACCTGGGCCATCTTCTACTGCTTTTCCAGGCCATAGCAGAGAGCTGCTGGGACATGAACTGGTACCCATATGGGAAGCCTACACTGCAGGTGGCCGCTTTACCAGCTATGCCACAGCACTGGACCCCTTTCCCTCCCTCCCTCCCTCCCTCCCTCCTTCCTTCTTTTTTCTCTCTTTCTTTCTCTTTCTCTCTCTCCCTCTCTCTCTCTCTCTCTCTTTCTTTCTTTCTTTTCTTTCTCTCTCTCTTATAAATTTAACAGATTTCTGAATGATACAATCCTAGGATAAACCTTAGTTGGTTATGTTTTATCATTCTTTTAATACATGACTTTGACTTACTAATACATTTTTTTGCATCTATACTCACAAGTGATTTTGATCAATGGTTGGGGGGCTGTGTTTGTGTGGGTGTGAATATGTGCACACATATGCCTAATTTTAGTCTAAGTGTTAATCTAATCTTATAGAATGAACTGTAGAAAAGTTTAAATTAAATAAGAAGTTTTAAAGATAAAATGTGCTTCTTTTATGGTATGGTAGAACTCACCTTGTTGAACAGTCTGGATGTGGGATGGAAATATTTGACTAGCTAAAAAAATTTGTTCTATTGTAATTACTCTTCAGAAGGACTACTACTTCCATCAATTTTTATAATTTATAATTCCATTTTCCCAGAAATTAATGCATTTCACTTAGATTTTGAATTTTTGTGGCTAATGAATATAGCCTTTTCATATAAGAATGTCTTGTGCATCAGCAGCTATATTTCCCATCCTGTTAATTTTGAATATTATGAGGTTTACTTTTATCTTGTGATCAGAGTTATCAAGAAGTAAATTGATTTTATTAACCATTCTGGTCCCCTAGGTTGTATTTTATTGTTTCTAATGAACCTTGAATTAAGTGCTTTATCTTTTTTTGTTTTTCAAAGAAATGCTTTTAAGATGATCAAAACTTCTTTTGGACAGCCCTTGATTGTAGCCCATGTGTTTTGATACAAAGCATCTTCATTGTTATCCCTCTCTAAGAAAACTTGTGAGTTTAGATTTACTGTTTAATTCAAGGGTTATTAAAAAGAGCAGTTTCAAAAATAGTTTCATTTTCCTCCTAGTTGTTTTTATTTCTGTTAATTTTTAGTTTTGCTGCATCTGGACAGATAACATTGGAAATTATTGAGATGTGGTGGTCTGTGACCCAATATTTATCATTTATTTGAGACAAAGGTTCATATTTATCTGTCATTATCAAACTTTGTAATTGTTCCTGTCATTTATATAATATACTAATATTATGTGTATTCCATAATTTATTTACTCACTCTCCTAATGATTGAAATTTAGTTTTACATAATTTACATATTTTGGCAGCATAGAAAAGTTGCTGTGAACATTTTTGCCCATAATTTTGGTTAAAAGCAAGTCTTTCTGTAGGATGAATTCCTAGAATGCATGCACACACGCACACACACACATTCTGTACATTCAGATTTAATTTTATACATAATAAATAATAATAGTAATAATGTAATAACATATTCTCCCTTTGTTATTGTCATTATTATTTGAGATTTTGGTTGTTTAGTCAAATTCAGTCTGAATTGGCCATAGCCCAAATACCACACTTTCAAAATGCTGTCTTGGATCTCTACACACCCTTGTTCCCAAGACACAATTTCTGTTAGTGTATTCTAGGATTTTAGGTGCAGGAGGTAGTTAATGGCTTGTAGATTTAAAAAAATGTGTATGTTCTCTTTTAAACATTGTATTTGACATTTTTAATGACTTATGATGTTAACAGTAATTATTTTGATTGTTGAACTCATTTCTTGCATGCTATTAGTTCTTTTACCATAATTTCTCCATTCCAAGTCCTTATTTTTATTTGTCTCTTGATTAGTTAAATTATTTCTTTAACTTTTTTCAAGAAGACCATATGTTCTTGCATGTATTTTTACGTTGCTTTTGCATATGAATGGCATTTCTGTTAATTTTTAATTATTTTCTGTTATCAAGAAAGCTTTGATGTCATGACCATCTCTTCATTCCTTCTTCCTTGAGGAAGTAATTTAGCTTCATAGTCTTAAGAAATAAAAAAATTTTTTTTTCAGGTCGAATTTATAGGCACTCCCAGCAACCTTTAATTACATATGAAAAGTATGATGTGACTGACTATCCAAAAGATGTAGGAGGGACCCGTTCTTCACTACTTCTGAAGGTTCATGGTAAGTTACACATGTAGCATTATTACTACTTTGTGGGATGAACTTACCTGATGATTCAGTGCTGGATTGGAATGGTGATGGACATAACAGCAAAATTTCATAGATCTTTTATGCTTAAACATTAACATTTGTAGGTAACATCATCTGTCTTAATGTTTGCTACTTTTTATTTAAAATGGAAAGTAGGTCTTATTCAGTTGTTTTAACCCTGACTGCACATTAAAATCATCAATAAAGCTTTTAAGATATCTACAATTTTAAAACGGTATTCTAGTTATTTCTAACTGAAGCCATGGCTTCAGATTAATAATACACTTAAATTTTTACCAAATATTAAAATAAATGACAATGAAAGAGTGGTCTTCACTTTGATTATTTTATTATGGCAATAGTTTGATTTCAAAGATACAGTTCTTTTGTTGGAGACTTGACCAGTGTACAAGTATTTGGGGTGTATAAAGTGTATAGTACTTTATTAGGCTTCATATATTTAAAAAGGAATAGAACCAAGTTGGAGGAGTAGTACCCTAGAAACAAGACTATCCCATGTTCTGGTTCTACTGAGGAAACTTGATTCCATTTGAAAAGTAGCCTGGTATATTTTTAAAAAGATGGAATTTTAAAATCAGAGGGATACTGTAGTAGGTATTATACCATTGTAAAATATTAGCATTTGATGGAATTCCTTATTTAGTATATTCCTCTTATATTCTCCAAAGTTCTTCATTGTAGTTGAATTTACATAAATGTTGCTGCTGTTAAGCTTGAAGATAATTGTATTTTTAATTTGCTTCTACTCGTTGTGGCTCCAGTTTGGTAATGGATTCAGAAATCCATACCTTTTTTTTTTTTTTTTTTTATAGTGAGATGTGAGAAGATTCTGAAATAGGTGCAGACAGGCTGTACCAGTATAAATGGTTAAGAACATAGTTGCTGGAGGCAGACCAGACTTAAATCCTGACAAACTACTTCTCTAAGCCTTGCATTCTTCATCCAGAACAACTGGAATAATAATTGTAACCATGCTATAGGATTGTTGCAAAAATCAAGTCAATTAATACATGTAGTTAGATTTTATGGTGCACAATATGGGCTATGGAACCATCAGCTGTAAGGGTCCTGGTGGTAGAAAGAGTTACAATGCACAAGATCTCTTTCAGTCATATTTAGGTCAGCTGAATGTATTTTACTGGGATGTTTATATGGCTTGGTCACCTAAGAAATAGCCTAATTGAGCTTAATATTAACCATTATGTTGTTTTCACCTGTAGGTGCCTTAATGTTTGTGGCATGGATGACTACTGTTAGCATAGGAGTACTGGTTGCTCGGTTCTTCAGACCTGTTTGGTCAAAAGCTTTCTTCTTTGGCGAAGCAGTTTGGTTTCAGGTAGGTGAGGAGAAAAAAGGTTAATGTTATTTCTGTATTTTTTGAACATTGCAACATGAAAACATATGAAATATGTTGTACTTTTTTGGTGATTTTAGTTGTTGTAGGTTTGAGATCCTTTTTTTTTTCCTTTTCGCTTATTAACCTATTGAGAACAGACATAAGATATCTGATGGAGGTCAAAATGCAGACAGCTTTATGAGAAGACAGACTGCACTGGAGATGTTCCGGCCATGGGTGTCCATAGACTTTGGGATCCAGCTGATCCTTGCTCACATGTCTGTTGATGGGGAGAGATAGTAGAAGAGCATTCATTCACCTGTGGCACTGCGGAAACTTGGGTGAGGGAAGGCAGAGTAGCAGAACTACTGAATACTTACAGTTTTTCAGAGCAGGGGCCAATGAGAGTTGGACTGCCCTGTATCAGTGAGGATCATGTACTTATTTCCTGTGTGGATGGGAAGAGAAACTGGAAGTTTTCTTTTTCATGCTGCCTCTTCCTATTAGGTCAGAGACAGTCTCCAATTAAAAACATAAGCAAGAGTCAGTGAGTGCTCTCCAACACAAAGCAAAGCAAATTTATGTTATTTTTACATGTATAGTGGAAGACCAATGAGTGTGTGCCAGTTAGAATGTACATGTCTGCTTGCAGAAGGAACAACACTGCCTGTGGATGTTTTGACTTTCTAAGGGGGGTATTCTTGACACCTCATATTCATATACATTTGTAGCTTTTAAGGTTTATCTTCCCTAACCTCATTTCTCATAGCTGGCTGGCAGGGCCAACGTGTTTGCTTTGTTGTCTCTGCTGATTTAAGTCTTGCTCCCGTCTGTGTCTTGCTGCTTGTTGTGTGAGTGTGTACTTTCTTGATTGCATTTGTTGTCTTTCTCTTTTGTTTGTTCATGTGGCAATTCCCAACTGGGACACTCTTTATGTCTTTTCATTTTCAGTTTAAATCATCCCTGTTTTTTTTTTTTTAAATAATTTTATTTAAAAGGCAGAGAAACAGAGACAGAGAGATCTTCCATCTGCTGGTTCACAGCTCAGATGTCCATAACAGCTGGGGCTGAGCCAGGCTGTAGCAAAGTGCCAGCAACTCAGTTAAGGTATCTCACATGGGTGGCAGGGACACAAGTACTTGAGCCATCATCTGCTTCCTCCCAAGGTGCACATGAGTAGGAATCTGGAATCAGAAGCAGAGATAGGATTCAAACCAGGCCCTCCGATATGGCATGTGGGCATCCCAAGCAGTCTTAGCCACCACTCACCAAACACTTACTCCACACTATAATTTAAAGATCTCTGTCTCTCTCTGCCTTTCAAATAAATAAAAAATTAATATAAAAAAATAAAATAGAACTATGATGTGTGTATATATGTATACATATGTTGCTTAATGATGAGGATGCATTCTGACAAATGCATTAGGTGATTTTGTAATCATATGAGCATCATAGAATGTACTTACACAAACATGGCTGCAGTGTTACTGGGTGATATAATTTTTTGGGACCACCATGGTATATTTGGTCTGTTGTTGACTTAAATATTATTATGGGATCCAAAAGCTGTACCTATGAAATTTTTATTTATTAAATAAAAGCTTTCTAAAAATATTGTTATGGGGCACATAGTTGTGTGTGTACATGTATCATCTATCTACTCTTGTATGTGTATGTGTATATATACAATGGTACTTCAAAAAGGTCATGAAAAAAATTTTGCATGGATCTCAATTTTTTTCTGTACCATAATTTTTTTTAAAACTTTATTTCCCATGAACTTTTTGAAGTATCCACATACATTCTCATATATGGGGACACGTATACACATACACACACAGATATATATGGTGAGTGTATAGCCACTTACTGAGATAGTTTTGATTTGCACAAGTAATCCAGGTATAATTAATTAACACTGCCTACTTTTACTCTCTTGATTTGCATAATGAATTATACATTTCATGTATTTTTCTCTTATCTACTCAATTATGTTTCAAGCTCCTCAGGAGACAGTATTTTTCTCGTTTCCTTACTGCTCATTACACCTGGTATAGCATTATGCTTGGTGGTGGAGCTTAACAAATGTCTTTGGGAGGAAAGGAAGCATTTGGCAAGTAAGTGTACTGGGTGTATGAAATTCATTCTTGTTGCTCTGTGCAGGTGAAGTCGTGGCAAACACTTTTGAATGATGAGGATGGCAGCTTAGGATTTTCTTTAAAGTTCAGTGATATTATTGTTTTAAACTGACCACAGATTGTGATTGGATGTCAGTTGAATGCATGCCTTTAGTGAATCTTAAGCCATGACCTTTTCCCATTCTCCTTCCTCTAATGTGATTAACTGTCTTCTTACTTTGTCATCTCACCTTGCAGGTGCATCGGATGCTCATGGTCACTACATCTGTGCTCACCTGCATTGCTTTTGTTATGCCTTTTGTATACAGAGGAGGCTGGAGTTGGGTAAATATATCTTAAGCAGGATGTTTTAATATAAGTCCATTTTGGTGTCAAAGCAGATTCCTGTTTTATTCTTACATGATGAGCCTAAAAGATATTTCTATGCAAATTCCTCCTTTTCTCTTTTTGAATGATCTGATGACTATTTCCCATGGTTGTCTGTCAAGGGTAGATGATGATGTCAATGCCAACTTGGTAATGAAATGTATTTTTGGTTTGCATCAAATGTTATATGCACATTATAGCATTAATGAGTTTTTGTCACGATAGAGTGTTAAGAATTCAAAGTGTGAAATCTAAGACAGTTCATGAAAAATGGAATTAAAAGATTCATTTGTTGTTCTGGATGTTCCACTTCCCAACCAGCTTCCTGCTAATGCACCTTCCACTTTAGATCCAGCTTCCTGCTAATGCATCTGGGGAAGCAATGGAAGGTGGCCCAAGTACTTTCTCTCTCTCTGTATCTGCTTTTCAAATCAATCAACTGGTAGACTATTATTTCAAAGAGATATATTAATTTTGATGTAAATTTTTTTTAAACTTTTATTTAATGAATATAAATTTCCAAAGTGCGACTTATGGATTACAATGGCTTCCCCCCCATACCGTCCCTCCCACCCACAACCCTCCCCCCTTTCCCACTCCCTCTCCCCTTCCATTCACATCAAGATTCATTTTCGATTATCTTAATATACAGAAGATCAGCTTAGTATACATTAAGTAAGGATTTCAACAGTTTGCTCCCACACAGAAACATAAAGTGAAAAATAATAGATGATTTTTTTTAAATGATGATGAAATCAGATCAGACCTATTGTCATGTTTAATCCCAGTGAGAGTCAAGTTGGGAATTGATAATTTCTTTTTCTTTTTTTTTTTTTTTTTTACAGAAGATCAGTTTAGTATGCATTAAGTAAAGATTTCAACAGTTTGCACCCCCATAGAAACACAAAGTGAAATATATTGTTTGAGTACTCATTATAGCATTAAATCTCAATGCACAGCACATTAAGGACAGAGATCCTACATGAGGAGTAAGTGCACAGTGACTCCTGTTGTTGACTTTACCAATTGACACTCCTGTCTATGGCATCAGTAATCTCCCTATGCTCCAGTCATGAGTTTCCAAGGCTGTGGAAGCCCTCTGAGTTCTCCGACTCTTATCTTGTTTAGACAAGGTCATAGTCAAAGTGGAGGTTCTCTCCTCCCTTCAGAGAAAGGTACCTCCTTCTTTGAAGACCTGTTCTTTCCACTGGGATCTCACTCACAGAGATCTTTTGCCAGAGTGTCTTGGCTTTCCATGCCTGAAATACTCTCATGGGCTTTTCAGCCAGATCCGAATGCCTTTAGGGCTGATTCTGAGGCCAGAGTGCTATTTAGGACATCTGCCATTCTATGAGTCTGCTGAGTATCTCACTTCCCATGTTGGATCACTCTCCCCTTTATTTATTCTTTCGGTTAGTGTTAGCAGGTACTAGACTTGTTTATCTGCTCCCTTTGACTCTTAGTCCTTTCATTATGATCAATTGTGAACTGAAATTGATCACTTGGAATAGTGAGATGGCATTGGTACATGCCACCTTGATGGGATTGAATTGGAATCCCCTGGTATGTTTCTAACTCTACCATTTGGGGCAAGTCAGCTTGAGCATGTCCCAAATTATACATCTCTTCCCCCTCTTGTAAAAATTTTTGAAAACTCTGCATAGTTTTCCACAATATGCATTTTCATGAGTTTCTTGAAAATCCCTTTTGTGCATTTATTTAATTTTTTTTTCCACTAAAATGAATCTCTTTAAATTCCATTTTCTATCAACCTTTTGAAGTACCCTTATAAATTGTCTACCTAATAGTATAATTACTCCTAAGTTGGCATAAGTTGCTAAGTGCTATGTGTCCATTTGTGGCACTTGCTTTATTGTGTTATCCAATGTAAATCTTATTTGAAGTAGCTGTTGATGAGGATCCCTTGTCACAAATGAAGAGAATGAGGCTTAACCCAAATTTTTTCTCTCTAACCAAGTCTTCTCCCCTGGCTTGAGACTCACATATCCAGCTCAGGTCCAGCTTAGGACGTGTACTTGCATGTCCAGGACATCTCAAACTTAACATGTCCTCAAGGGGATTTCTTACCTATTCTGCTCTACTGCTGCCATCCCACATTAAGTGTTAGAGTTCCATTTCTAGACCAAAACCTTGAATTATCCTTAACTATGCTCTCTTGCTTATGCTATATCCAATTCATTGGGCAGTCCTGTTGACTCTACATTTAACATACATTCCTAATCCAATACTTCCCTCACTTTCACTGATGGGTTTGAGCCACCATCATCTTCTGTTTGGACTTTTTCCAGTAGCTACCTCACTGGTCTCCTCACTTCACCCTTGTTCACCCACGGTCTATTTTCAACAAAGAAGGCAGAGTGATTTTTCACCCAAAACTGTAAATGAGATCATGTCATTCCTATGCCCCAAAGTGTTTTCTGTAATGTTTCTCAGTTATACTCAGAGCAAAAGCAAAATTGGTTCCCAATTATTCTCTGAACTGACTCCCTCTTTCACCTCCTTCCACAGGGCCTTCATGCAGGTCTGCAGACATGCCAGTCTTCTCCTGCTCTGTATCCTCTTTGCTAGGATTCTTCCTTCTGCCTGGCAGTCTCTCCTCACTCCCTCAAGTTCTTCAAGTCTTTGCTTGGCTCTATTTTTGCCCCTAAACCTTTCACTGCCTTATGACATTTCATATAATTCATTTAATTTTTATATTTTTTCTTTGTCTGTCCCCCCGCCCCCAAGTATGATATTAGTTCTTTGAGAGCAGCAGTGTTTACCGGGATGTATACTGGCACATCCCAAATACCCAGAAAAGATTCTGGTACATAGTCAATACTTAGTAAATATTAGTAAAGGAATGGATGCAGCTCATCAAGAATAAGTGACATACCTAAGTTCAGAGCCTGTGCTTTCATTAGTTTTTCAGATATATAGCCAGTCAGAATTTGATATCAAGATTTAATATTTCAGAACTTGGGTTTGTAGCCTTTCCCATTTATGAATAAAGTAGTATAAAAGTTAAGAGCACTAGTCTACAGCTGGACTACATGGATTCAAATACTGGCATCATCACTTATTTTGTAGGACACCTTGGGCAATTTCCATTACTTCTCTGTCCTTTGGTTAACTGATCTGTAGAAATGGGGATAGCATATTGTCTATCTGGTAAGCTTCCTGCATGACTGTGAATTAATTAATTGAAAGTACTTAGGATAGTTCCCAGCACATTCTAAGACATACATGAATTATTTTGTTGCTGCAGTATATATATATATATATATATATATATGCTTCCACAGTGGTGGTTAAAATTTTATCCATGAATAACTGACTCCTTGACTTGAAAGTGTTTTTTATTTTTTGTCTTTTTTTAAGATTTATTTATTTGAACAGAGAGGTAGAGTCAGAGAGTGAGAGAGAGAGAAAGAGAGAGAGATCTTCTATCCGTTGGCTCACTCCCCAGATGGCCGCAACAGCTGGAACTGCACCGATACAAAGCCAGGAGCCAGGAGTTTCTTCCGGGTCTCCCACATGGGTGCAGGGGCCCAAGGACTTGGGCCATCTTCTACTGCTTTCCCAGGCTATAGCAGAGAGCTGGATCATAAGTGAAGCAGATGGGACTTGAACTGGTGCCCATATGGGATGCCAGCACTGCAGGCAGCAGCTTTACCCACTACACCACAGCACTGGCCCCATTGGAAGTGTTTTTGTGTTGCTCCTCTGTTAGCTGTAGTTGCTATTTACCAAGGCTTCCTAACATCGCCTGGGAACTACTGTGTCCCTGTCCCAGGTCCTAAATTTGTAACCTACCTGAGCCTGGGATTCAGTGATGACAGACTGTTGTGGCCCTCCATCTAAACATGCACAGGTTGGAGCATCATCTAGTTCTTGGAAGGATTCAAGTAGAATCCTGTGCAAAGGATTTGATCCAACTCTGCTGTTGTAAGGAGGCATACAGCATCCCTTAAGGAGGAGAGTAGCAGAAAACTATGGAGATACTGTGTAGATGGTTTTGCTTGGGTTAGGGCTTCATTCAGAACAGAGGAGATAAGCTTTTAATACAGTGGCTCTACAGGTTATTCACTCAGTTAAAAACATTTATTGAGTGACTAAGATCCTGTTAAGCTTCAGTGTTACAAGGAACCATATAGAACTCACAACTCAGGGAAACAGAGGTCTCATCAATCATTGCAAATGATTGCTCTCAACATATGGAGAGTGACCAGGGCCTGCACCTGGATGTCCTGGCATTGGTGGTCATCTAACATCCTGAGTAGAGAGAGGCAGCATTCTGCACCAGGACTCCACCACAACCATGTGCTTTCTGGCTTTGACCACAGTACTTGATGTCTCCAAACCTCTGTTTTCCCATTTGTAAATGTGCAATATTTATACCCATTGTCAAGCATTATAGTAAACATGAATGATCTAGTTGGTAAACTAAGTGAATACTCTGTAAACGTTCCCATTCTCCTCCCCCCCCTCCCACTCCTCCTCCTCCTCCGCCTCCTCCTCCTCAAGTGTTTAAGGCTATGGAAACACACTAAGCCTACATATTTGCGTATCAGTTTTCACCTGATGACGACGTGACATTGAGATGACGTGACTTTGTTTAGCATGCAGGTTACCACCCGTACCTTGGTTGTGTTGTGATGACCTTAGCAGTTCTTCAGCCACTTCTGGCAGCCTTCAGGCCACCTTTACATGACCCAAGGTACCTATAGGTTTTATATATAAATCCTCTCAATGTGGATTTCATTAGCTGGCAAACAAATCTCTTTTTAAGTTGAAACATTTTGCATCTTAAAAAAATTCAGTTGAAAAATTGTCTTTAAAAGCCTTTAAAATGTAGTTCAGATTTCTAATTCCCAGGCAATCAGGAAAAATGATATGTTCTGTGTTCTCTTGGGAATTAATCGTAGAACCATCACTTTCAAGAATACTGATTGGTTTCTTATTTTGGTAGAAGGAAAATGTTTAACTGGACTCATTGGGGTATGGGAACAGCTGCGAGAATAATAGCAGGTGAGTAGTTGTGATGCCACTTATTCATATTTAATTGCTGGCTGTTTATATTGCAAGTTGTAATTTGGCTTAAATGATTTTTAGATGCATTAGTAATTGGAGTAATTGGTTGTTGAGGAGAAATCATCCTTAAACATTGAACTCCAGAAAGTAATTTCTAGAGGTAACTATTTAAGTCATTATTTCAGCTTTAAAGTTAAAGTTAAAAAAAAGACTTTAAAACTCTCCTTTGAAGACTTTTTAAAGCATTTTCCTTTGCCAGCAGAATAACATACTGATGACCAAACATTTGAGCAGCTTAAGTTGATGTTCATTTGTGGGGTGGGCTGAGGTGGGGCTGTTGGGTGTAAGACTTCTGTATTAATCAGCTTTTTGTCTCTATAACAAAATACCTTAGAAAAGTACTTTTGAAGGAGGGAGACTTATTTTGACACAGAGTTTTAAAGTTGTACAGTTCAAGATCAGGTGGACTACATTGGTTTGGCTGTCTGGTGGGCCTGGAAGTTGCCAGTGACAGAATGTATGCAGGGAAGGGATCATGTGGCAAACTAGGAAGCAGAATGAGAGGCTGGGCCCAACTCAGGCTTCTATAATAAACTGTCACCATACTGCTTCCCAAGGGCATGCCCCCAGTGACCTAAGTCTCCTCCACCAGGCCCACCTCTTAACTGGATTAGGCCCATGCCATAACTGGCTCTAAGTTTCCCATCCTCTAAGTGCATTAACGTAAGATTTTGAGGTTTTAACTTTAAATATCTACATGCATTTGGGAGCCAAATCCTACTAGAACCATCATACTCCCCATCTCCAGGCTCATTTAATGGGACGGATACTCTCCAGGGTAGAGTGGTTTTCAAAAGACAAGTATGATTGATTATCTGGTATGTTTTCTTGCCTTACAGATTTATAATAAATACCTAACCAGGTACCTCCTGTGGTCCTAGCATGTCTGTAGTCTATGGATGCTCTGTGGAAGATGGAATACAATTAGCAATGGTTTTCATGGTTCTCTCTCATCCTACATTATATATTTAAAACTTTCTGGAAAGTTTGCCTGTTTTCTTTTCTCTCTTTCTCTTTTTTTCTTTTCCCTTTCTTCCCTCCCCCCCCCCTTTTCCTCCCTCCCTCTTTCCTTCCCTCCTTCCTTCCTTCTTTATTTCTGATTTATTTATTTATTTGAAATTCAGTGTTACAGAGAGAGAAGGAGAGACAGACAGAGAGAGAGAGCGCAATCTTCCATCTCCTGGTTCACTCTCCAAATGGTTGCAATGGCTGGGGCTGGGAGCCAGGGGCTTCCTCCACATTTCCCATGTGAGTGTAGGGGCTCAAGGACTTGGGCCATTCTCTGCTGCTTTTACAGGCACATCAGCAGGGAGCTGTGCCAGAAGTGGAGCTGCCAGGACATGAACTGGTACCCATATGTGTTGCTGGTGCTGCAGATGATGGCTCAACCCACTATGCCACAGCACCAGCCCCCGCCTGTTTTCTTAACAATTGGTAGTTCATAGTTATAGTTACCATCTTATTCTACCTAGTCTTACAATAAAAAAGGACTAAATTGACTACTTCTACTTAAATATTCATCTTATTCATCTCACAAATTCTTTCAGTATGTTTTACTTAATAGAATACATATATGCAAGTATCAACATACAATTACTACATTTGAATATAATCTTTTTTCTTTTACACTTAGTGGCAGCAATGTTCCTGGGGATGGATTTACCAGGATTAAATCTTCCTGACCCACAGAAAACCTATGCAATGATTGGGTTTGTAGCCTGGCACATTGGGACGGAGATTGTTCTGGAGATCCATGCTTACCGACTCTCTCGACAAGGTAATTTGTACAAAAAGCCATGTTACGAGAGTCACTACTATACAAGTTTTTGGAAAATACTAAGTTTCTTGATACTTGGAGTTGACTGTTGCATGGTGGCTCATTAAAATTTTCTATTTTTTTTTTTTTTTAAGTCAGAGTTACAGAGAGAGAGTGAGACAGAGACAGAGCTCTTCCATATGCTGGTTCATTCTCCAGATGACTACAATGGTCAGGGCTGAGCCACGAGGACGCCATCTAGGCCTCCCACCTGGAAGCAAGGGGCCCAAACACTTGGGGCATCTTCTGCTACTGATCCCAGGCCATTAGCAAGGAGCTGGATCAGAAGTGGAACAGCTGGGACATGAACTGGTCCTCATATAAGATGCTGGTGTTACAGGTGGTGGCCTTACTGGTTATGCCACAGCACTGCCCCCAAAATTTCTATTTTGATTACTCAGCCACTGGTAAAAATTGTGGAAAATTTCTGTCTTTTGTTTGTTACATTCATTAGAACTAGAGTTTGTAAGGAAAAATGGAGGGGAATGAGATTAGGCTTCAGGGAAGATGTCTTGTTTATGAATACTTTCACTTTGCCTGCTGCTATGACTTGGAGCCAGTACTCACTGGGAATTCTGAGTGCCTGGGATGGAGGGACCCAAGTCACACAGGCAGAGCCGCACATTTCACATGTATGGCATACTTAAACACTTAGGTTGTCATACATGTATGTATATAGCTAGCAAGATAGTGAGTGAGATAATGAAGACCTACTTTCTCATGCTTTTTAATGGCAAATTCTGTTTTGGTCTTGAAGCCAAGCAGGGTCAAGATACCTGTAACCATCAGTAGGAGAGGAGAGATAGTAGAGAAAGGATGATGTTTTAAAATAGCTTAGATTCTGGGTTGTGTCTTCTGCATCTTAACTAGTTTTTTCCTCCCAATAAGTGAAGATGAACTTCTATAAACAAAACCTTATTGTCTAGTGTACAGGCATACTTCAAAAAGGTCACAGAAGATGAAATTAAAAGATAAGTTTATTCTGGTTGAAAAAAGTTTTGAAATTCATGCATATAAGATGTTTTCAAAAAAGTCTATGAATATATGTATTATGAAAAAACTATGCATGAGTTTTAAGTCTTTTTTCACCAAAATTTATTAATTTGAGAGGCAGGGAGAGAGGAAGAGAAAAATCCAAGAGAGATATAGAGCACTCATCCATTGGTTTCAGTCTCCAAATACTTGCAGAGACCTCTGACTGAGGTCAAAGCTGGGAGCCAGGAACTGAATCCATGTCTCCTGCATGGGTGGCAGGAACCCAATTACTTGAGTCATCACCCGCTGCCTCTCAGGGTTTGTATTACAAGGAGGTTGGAGTTGGGAGCTGGGATTGAGACTCAAACCCAAGCACTCTGATATGGGGTGTGGATTTAGTGGTAACTTAACCTCTAGACCAAATGACTGCCCATACCCTTGTCTTTTAATCCCATCTTTCCACAAACTGTTTGAGGCACCCTGATCTGTGCTGTGAACCTAGGAGCCTGGGTGGGTTTTGGAAGCTGGGTAGTAAGCATCTGCCCTTCCACTTTTGGTTTTTGATAAGGCCATCTACATGGGACATTTGATGAGCACAGAATTAAGGCTTATTATCCAAAACACATAGGTAGTGGAAAATTGGATTGTTACATTAATTAGCTTGATTTAACCATTCCACAATGCATATATACATCAAACGCTCATGTGGTATGCCATAAGTAATGCAATTTTAATTTGTCAATTGCAAAAGTCCCCAAATTTTGGTTGTTAGGCTTGTCATGCTGTTGATCAACCAGAAGAAGAGGGCACATGTTAAGCCCTCTCACAAAACAGTGTAATGACCAGCTTGTCCCAATTTATGAGAGCCTTGAATATTCAGGAAGTTTGCAATGTTTAGTAGGTTGAAAAGGGAGAATTTACAACCTGGAAATGAGTGAACACCTCAAAACAATATTTTTTTTCTTTTGTAAAGTTAGTGTAGCTGTCTAACACTGTCCTGATAAACTTATGTCACTGTTCTTGACAGTGGAAATACTGGATGATGACAGAATTCAGATCCTTCAGTCTTTTACTGCAGCGGAAGCAGAGGTAAGGTCTTTCCTTGTTTATTGACACAAACCTTAATTGTAGTACTTCTTTTATATCTCAATTTTTCTTTCAGGGTCATGCTTTTAAAAAGGCAGTGTTGACAATTTATGTCTGTGGGAATGTGACTTTTCTCATCATATTCTTATCTGCAATCAACCATCTATGAACAAGCAAAGACCTTGACTTTCATGGGCCAGGTGATAATCACCATCAATCCAAAGACACTTGAAACTGTACCAACTGCTGGGAGCGTGTTGGTGAATTTTAATTTGGAAGACCCGGGTCACATTGATAGGGGATTCTGAAGTCTGGTTATTATATAAAGATAACATGCAGGAGCGTCCTATAGACTGACAACAAGCCCTAGCTTGTAATTCTGGGTCCTAAGGGTTTAGTGTTCAGGAGAGATGAATCTTCAATAATGCATGCCAAGATTTTAAGAATGTTAGAATGTAAGGAAATAAACAAGAATGTCATTAGGATAAAAAGGAGGTTGTATTAAGTATATTCTAGATGGTAAAGGTTCTGTGATACTAAGAAAACATTTATTTTTTACTACTTTATCTGAATGGTCTTTGGATTTTCTTTTAGAAAATATGTTTTTATGTTCCACTTTTTGACATGTCATTTGCTCTGTGTATTCTGTTACTTCTCTGATAAAGGTTTCATTAACATTTAAATATATTATCAATATTATATTTGTTGGCAGTGAAATGCAATTGTGCATCTCTTGCTTAAAGAATTTTTTATGTAGCTACCTACAGAGCTGAAATGACATTTTATATGCTGTTTTGACTGTAAGATTTAAGTTCTTAAAGCATTTAAAGATTGTAGATGTGTTTCCAAAACTGTTATCTCACCCTTCACCCTTCAAATGTCATCTTATAGATATTCTAACTTTTTTCCAAAAATAAATTAATGTGGATGATATTATTATCATTATTATTATTATTATTGGAAGTTATGTGCTCTAAGGAATCTGAATAGCTGTTACTTTCCTTCCTAATCCAATCTTCTGTTTGAGGATCAGGTCACATATTTGCTATGAAGACTTCTAGCCAGTAGGTGGCAATGTAATACTGAAGTTCTGCTTTGTTCCTGTTTCCTTCCTAGGACTGATTTTTTTTTTTTTGGTATTTGGATAGCATTTCCCTTAAATTCCACCAACACTTCTTAATCTTTATTTGAAAAATTTATGCATTTTTGGGGCACGGTTATGGGTTAGAAACTCAAATTGGGGGCAAGTGTTGTTATTTTCTAGTTGCACTGATGTTTGTTTTCTGTGATTATTTATAAAAATTATTTGATATTTCCCTTTGCATTATCTTGGGCAAAGGAAGCAAACAAAACTGCACTTTTGAAAATAAAATATTCAGGGAGTCATGCTTTATTATTTCAATAGGAGTATTCATTATTATTTTTAAAGATTTATTTTATTTACTTGAAAGGCAGATTTACAGAGATAGAGACGGAGAAACAGAGAGAGAGAAAGAGAGAGATCTTCTATCCTCTGGCACACTCCACAAATGGCCACAACAACTGTGGCCAGGCTAAGCTGAAGCCAGGAGCCAGGAGCTTCTTCTGGGGCTCCCATGAGGGGCAGGGGTCCAAGCACTTGGGCCGACTTCTGCTGGTTTCCCAGGCACATTAGCAGAGAGCTGTACAGGAAATGGAGCATTCAGGGCTCAAATCAGCATCTATATGGGATGCCGGTGCTGCAGGTAGTGGTATAACCTGCTATACCACAGCACTGGCCCCTATTTTTAGTAATATAAAGAGAACACATTTTATGATTTCCATAGTTACAGATCCAAGAAGACAAGAACACTTCCCTCACTTTCCAATCCTCCTCCCTCCCTCCCCTTTCTCTATCAGTTTTTGCGAAGATATATTTTTAAAAAGATTTATTTTATTTATTTAAAAGACAGAGTTACAGAGAGAGGTAGAGACAGAGAGAAAGGTCTTCCATCTGCTGGTTCACTCCCCAGACGGCTGCAATGGCCAGAGCTGCACCGATCTGAAGCCAGGAGCCAGGAGCCAGGAGCTTCCTCTGGGTCTTCCATGTGCGTGCAGGAGCCCAAGGACTTGGGCATCTTCTATTGCTTTCCCAGGCCATAGCAGAGAGCTGTTTTGGAAGAGGAACAGCCAGGACTAGAACCGGTGCCCATATGGAATGCCGGTGCCACAGGCAAGGGCTTTAACTCTCTGCGCCACTGCACCGGCCCCTGCAAATATATTTTAATCCAATCTATATTCACAGGCTTAATTTGCCACTAATAATAATATTCAACCAGTAAAAAGTCAGAAGACCACAGTTCCACAGGAACATAAATGAGGGCTAAAAATGACAATCATATCCCCAAATGACCATTTCATTCTTATACATTTTTGGGTATTCTATATTAACTGCCACATATCAGAGAAAACATGATATTTGTCTTTTTGAGACCGGCTTATTTCACTAAGCATAATGGTTTCCAGTTGCATACTATTCCATAGTGTACTGTGTGTGTGTGTGTGTGTGTGTGTGTATCACATTTTCTTTATTCAGTCATTATTTGATGGACATCTGGGTTGATTCCATATCTTAGCTATTGTGAATTGAGATGCGATAAGTATATATATTCACATAACTCTTTCATATGCTGATTTCATTTCCTGTGGGTAAATTCCCAGGCATGGGTTGGCTGGGTCATATGACAGATCTATTTTCAGATCTCTGGAGGAATCTCCATACTGTCTTCCTT